CGAGTACTTTTCAATCCACCCTCGTACTAACAATTTCAATTGTTAGTTGCAGTTTTAAGTGCTAATTTGCCTCGTATTCTTCGATTTAGAGAAACATCGTTAGGAAACATACGTGTGCAAAATCTGAAGGTATTTCGAAAATATCAACATTCGCTTTCCAGTCGTGAGACGATAGGCTATAACTTGTAGTGTTATGCTACTTACATATCATTTTACACTATTTTAAATTTATTTTTCCATTCTGTTTTTGATTTTCTGCATTAGCCTCAAAACTGGATATTTTGCATCACCTTTATTTTCATAGGATCCTGTAACGTTTTTAAACCATAAGAACACAATAACAAATCATTTTCACATCGTATTTTCACGTTATCAGCACTTTTTAAATCGGTGTCAATGGAGTCTACCTTTTTCGGTATTTTATTTAGTTCTCCGTAACTCTGCAATTTCGGGCTTCGTGCGCACTGTTGCGCTACCTTTTTTCCTATATCAATAATATCTCATTTTTCACTTAAATCTTGCCGTTTCTCTATTACGAGCCTAAAACCAAAATTTGACATGTTTTGACATCGTTGTTTATCTGGTTGTCATGGCAATTTTTATTCAAATATCATTACCGGCCTGATGTTTTTACTTCAAAAATACTCTTTTCTTCTTGGCCATTTACAAAAATTTGCTTTTAATTTAAATAATTTCAAATAATTTCTAGTTCTTATCCCAGATCAGTCAAAAAGTATAAAAGCCTAGGAATCGGCAAATAGAGGTTCTCACTTCAGCTTTGATACGAGAAGCACCTCTTAAAGGCTTTATCCGCACTGCCTCGGGATCTTGCAAGCCTTCTCCTGAAGTCGTCGCCTAGCCACGCCTACGCCTCCACCTATTAGTGCCCGCACTATCTTCGGCCGCTGAGTGTGCTTGTCTCAAGCGCTGCGTGTTCCTACTCCAGACGCTGCGTGTCTCCGGCGCTCCGGGCGCTGTGTGTGTCTACTCCGGGCACTGTGTGTGTCTACTCCGGGCGTTGTGTGTGCTTACTCCGAGCGGTGTGTGTGTGCCTACTCTAAGTGCTGCGTGTACCTGCTCAATACGCTGTGTGTACCTACTCCAGACGCTGCGTGGACCTACTCCAGACGCTGCGTGTCTACTCCAGGCGCTGTGTGTGTCTACTCCGGGTGTTGTGTGTGCTCATTCTGGTCGCTGTGTGTGCCTACTTCAAGCGCTGCGTGTACCTAGATTAGGCGCTGTGCATCTACCACAGGCATAGCCTGTACATACATTGTTTCCGTACTCATTTATCTTTATTAACTTTTATTTTTTTTTAAAAATTGTAATTCACTATCATCACTACAGCCCATCATCACCCTCATACCTTTTTATTTTATAAAAAAAAAGCTGTAAATATCTTTACAATTTTTTAAATAAATTATTTTCTTTTTTGGTTGTTTCGTTGTTAGGTTAGGTTCTATAGTTTTTAATTGTGGCTTTACATTTTATAAAAGGAACTGTAAATATCTTTACAAATTTTAAATAAATTATTTTCTTTTTTGGTTGTTTCGTTGTTAGGTTAGGTTCTTTAGTTTTTAACTGTCGCTTCACGACAAACTTTACTTGATTTAAATCCTGACTAAAAGTTTGTGTGACTAAAATTATTATTTTCTACATTTTGTGATAAATATACTAATTGTAACACCTTTATTTGACTGTTGCTCTAACGACGAAGCAATGTAGTGTCATATTATAGAACATCCCCTATAGAATATTTAAGTAAACTGTATAATACATTGGCGTGGTTCCTCTGGCGCGCGTTACGCGTCACTTGAAGCGTGGAATTATTTTTGTTACTGGTTAAATTGAGGACTCGGTTTGATACTGTTTTTTTTCACTACTGTTGTTTTAGATTCTGTTGATACTGTTGTTTTAGGCTCCGGGTTATTGGCTTACTGATCCGAGTGAATACATAATTTCTATAAAAACTTAAAGAACGCCGTCATAAGGTCTAAAATTGCGTTTTCAGAATCTTAAAATACTTTAAAAAATTGATTTAAGTAATCAAATCAAGTAAATTACGAATATAGATGTTATGAATATATTTAAGTGATTCCCAAGCATATAGATTAAGTAATTTCGTTGTAATTTCAACTATAGTGATTTTTAGAGGTGTTTTCGTAAATAATTATGATCGAGTCAAAATTATACAATAGTGTTTTTGAACAAGCAAATTCAAGATAAAGACCTATATCAAAATTCCATTTTCGTTAGTGGTTTCATTGTGCTATGCTATTCGATGAAAGAACTTGCATTTTTTCGCGGTGTCGCCTTAAAATAAAATGTGCCCATGAGCTTCATAAGCTCATACCGCCATCTCCATTCTCCTATCGGAGTATCAGACGTGCTTCAGGTTACCATTAAAGTTTGTTTGATATTCCGAATATTTGCACTAAGCTCTATAAGTCTCTAGTATAATGCCCTGCCGACGTCTGTCTTTTCGAGTGCGTATAGCTTTAACCTATTCAAGGTGCGTGTTAATAGGCTTTCCTGGACAAATTCGCTCCATCGTACACCTATATCTTTGCCTTCGGGCCAGATGGCGGTAAATAGTGAAAGTAAAAGTAAAGTTACAGCCTATATATACGTCCCACTGCTGGGCACAGGCCTCCCCTCATTTCTGAGAGGGTTTTAGGGCAAGGAAGTGTCCGCCGCGCTGCCCCAATGCGCGTTGGCGTACTTCACATGTCTTTGAAATATTTTTTTTTATTTCTCAGACATGCAGGTTTCGTCACGATGTTTTCCTTCACTGCCGAGCACATGGTAAATCAGCACTTACAATTGAAATTAACAATTTCATTGGTGCCGGCGGGGATCGAACCCGGGTTACTCGCGTTCTGTTATATTTACAGCCAACGTTATCCGAGCTACCACGGCTGTAGTGGTAAGTATCCCCACCTGTCAATAGTGAGCTCGTTTTAAATTTATAAATAATCTATCGACCCGCTGTGTGGCAGAAAACTATTGTATTTTGTTATAATAAATCATTTATAGATTAACATGGTAGAGCCAAGCTGCAGCTATATGATGGCACGGAATGGGTCGGCTCGACCGGGGAAGGACCACGCTCTCACAGAATACCAGCGTAAAGTAGCAACTTAATGCTGTTGTGTTTCGTATGGTGAGTGTAGAGAACTGGTGCGACTTTTTACTAGAAACGGGGCATTGCTCAGGGGTTACAACGCATCTGCACTTGAAATTATTAACTGAGGATTAATGTAGATGTATATGGGGCAATAGCATCCATTTACCATCCAGTAGTCCGCTGCATAGACAGTATAGATATATCCAGGACCACTGTAGACAGTTGTGCTGGTATCACAATTTTGAAATGAGACGCGATGGTCATTGCTAATGTTAATTACCCCCGGCAATGGACTAATCTCTTCATCGTTTTGCAACAGTAAATTGGCGCGGTTGCGTAACACCCTCTCGTGGGAAGGTGAAACCGTGGCTTTTTTGCGTAACGTGTTAAAACAATGAGACGGCGTCTCGAGGGATTGTTAAAGTTTAGTTACGTCATACTTTATGGAGGATATTACATTTGTGCGGGTTATACCGCAATTGGCGGTCTTGAGTTTTTTCCTCTAGCAAGGGCTTCGTATGTTTTTTAAGGGAAAACTTCTTAAGGCACGTTGGGAACTTTTGGAATGGGTGAAAAAGCATTGTACTCGTAAAATTAATTGATAAAAGTAATGTCAAGAATTCAATTGATTAAATTGAAAAAAAAATTATATATATTTATAAATTTGTTGGTTTGATATAGATAATAATCATTCTTTTTCATAATGATTTCTTATATTTAAGCGAACACTATACTTTGATTACAACTACTTTTACAGATTTTATCGCGTTTAATATATATGATTGTTAATTCCCGATGTTTCGGGTGCTTTCCGGCACCCATGGTCACGGTGGACTGAGGTGACTGACGTCCCGATGTCAGTGTTAACCAGGAGTACTTTCAGCTGCCTCTTTTGGTGGCGGTCGCTTGACGCGCACGCCACACGCGCCAACGTGGCACCTTCCCGTTCGATTCGTATTGTTATTTTCCCGCTCGTCGCGTCGAAGACGATCAATAAAATAAATATAAAATATTTTTATTAAGTCCTGTGGATACTCATAAAACAACTCTCCAAAGTTTCATCGTAATCGAATTTATATAAATTCCTTGGGCGAACGTAAAGCTTGAAAGATCCAACGTCATACTTATTTGATAAGTTTTTATGTTGTCGGAACGGAATGCGAACAGCAAAAAGTTTTAAAATCTGTTGCAATATTTACACAGTTTTGTACATTACAAACGCAAACATTAACAAAACACTGTATAACTTATTTTATACGAGTTTACAAAAAAACATTACAAGTTAAATGTTTTTTTGTAAACGCGTGATTATAGCTTGTCTGCGATGCAATCTCATGAAATTTTACCCATCCAAAAATCGCTCAACGCGCCTTAGAATTTTTTCATTTCAAAAAACATACAGTGGAATGTTTTTTCTTTTTCTTTTCTTTTTTCTTTTTAAAAAACGTTACCCCTACACTAGGATTTTCTCCTGTATCGGTGGGGGCTGTTTACAAACATAAATTGCACAAGGACGAACATCCAGACCCGGAATAATTATTTGTGGGCCATACAAATACTTGTTCCGTGCGGGATTCGAACCCGCGACCCCCAGCGCAGCTGGGGCAGTAGCTTTTTATAGGATAAGAGGGACAAACAAGCACTCAGTCCACCTGATAGTAAGTGGATGTTGTGGTTTATAGACATCTACATTTATCCTCAGTTAAGAATAAAAATGCAAATGCGTTGTCACTTCCGAGTATTGAGATAGAATGCCTCGTTTCCAGTAACGGGTACAATTGTTAACGTGCTCCTTTTATTTGAAATCGACTGAAAGTATCGCAACTTACCGTCAACCTGCGCTTGTCCACAGACGTTAAGTGAAGCGGTCGCGATGGCGGACACGGACACAGAGACGCTCCCTAACGGCACCGGCCCGCTCTCCAGCAGCGAGGCTGAAGAGGAACGGCTGAAGCAGCGGCCGGCGGACATCGACGCCGTGAGTTACCTTTTGACGTGAAAACTATGGAGTGTAGAAGTAAGGAGTACCAACTCCCATAGTAGAATAGTTAAAAAAGTGTCTCATCTGTAAGCAGTAAATAACAGTTCAAAAACTCTCCACAACAGCGCTGGAGTAGCTACTGGGATGAAATGAACTTAGCAGTTTCGACGGTTTGAAGTGTGCTGCTGAACTGCTCAGTAGCTCTAAAATCTGATATAGTTTTATTCAGTAAATATAACCTCGAAAAAGTCGTCTATCCCACTAATATTTTTCGGCACGTTCTTTAAAATGTACCCCGTAGCTATAGGGCGCCACCCTTATACCGTTTTCTATGGACACTTTTTAATACACAGTCTGTGCTCCTTACTTCTACACTCTATAGTGAAAACGTTTTTTTTTATCACAGAGCAACGCAGAGCGGCACGAATCGTCAACGACCGAGTTCTTTCTGAACGGTTCGGTTCACTGGCGCTGCGAAGAAATGTTGCATCCTTTTGCATTTCTATCGCAGCATTATAGAAGGGACAGTAGCCTAATGGCAGGGCGTGGACCGCGAACTCAAAAAGGTCGTGGGTTCGAATCCGCCATTCGACTACTGGCGTGAACCACTCGTAACACAACCAATTTAAGCTTAACACGAGTGGTTAAGGGGAATATTAGTAATATTTATAGCATTGTTAATATTCTTTTTATTTAAAAAAAAGCATTTACCACGGGGAGTGCTTTGACGAATTATTCGGATCAATTCCAACCTCCAAATGTCACCAATGCAAATCGCGACAAAACACGTTACCGTCCACATTATGTGGATGCTTTTCAGTCCACTACTGTGCCATTTTTTTTATAGAAGAGGGGGCAAACGAGCATGCGGCGCACCTGATGTTAAGTGACTACCGCCGCCCATGATCAACCGCAACACCAGGGGAATTGCAGGTGCGTTGCCGACCCTTTAGAAAGGAGTAAGCTCTTTTCTTGAAGGTCCCCAGGTCGTATCTGTCCGGAAAAATCGCCGGTGGTAAACTACACCACAGTGAGGTTGAACGCGGAAGAAAACTCCTTTTGAAACGTACAGTGGTGGAACGCCAAGCATCCAGATGGTGTGGATGGTATCGGGACGTTTGCCGCGTAGTGCGTTCACGAAATTTGGCGGCTGGGATTAATTCGAACAATTCCTCAGAGCACTCTCCATGGTATATGCGAAAGAAAATGCAAAGAGATGCAACATCTCTTCGCAGTGCCAGTGAATCGAGCCGATCGGAAAGCACTCGGTCGTCGACGATTCGAGCCGCTCTGCGCTGGATGGGGTCAAGTGGAAGGAGCTGGTACTGGGGAGCCCCAGCCCAGAGATGGGAACAGTATTCCATGTGCGGCCGAAACTGCGCCTTGTAAAGTTGCAGTCGGTGTGCCTGCCGCCGCTCTGCTGAGCACGCCAAGCTTTTTAGAGGCCAATTTGGCCTTCTCTTCCAAGTGACCACGAAACTGCACGTCACTCGATATGTCGACGCCGAGTATTCCGATACTGGCTGAGGCAACAAGGGGTGTGCCTTGAATCTGAGGAGATACGATAAAGGGGTTCTTTTTAGCGGTTGACGCGCAAACTTGTGTCTTCTGGGGGTTAAACTGGACTAGATTTAGTCGCCCCCAATCCGAGACTCTGTTCAGCAAAGACTCGACTTTGATTTGAGTTATTAGGAGTTTCCTTCCTCGCACGACTTCTTTGTGGAATTGTTTACCACTGACGATTTTTCCGGACTAATATGACTTAGACACCTTCAAGAAACGAGATTAGTCCTTTTTAAAAGGCTGGCAACGCACCTGAAATTCCCCTAGTATTGCAGTTAGTCATAAGCGGCAGTCAACACTTACCATCAGGTGACCTGCATGCTTTTTTGCCCCCTATTTTACGAAAAAAAAAATTCTTCCATAGTGGTGGCAATGCAGAAATCTGATAATATCAAAACTGTGGGGGGGGGGTGCAGTTTGGTGTTGCAGCTACGTGTCTATCATCTACATATAAAATTTTACTACGCCACTCGTCTGTTAAAGGATCAAGGAATTCGTTAAGTTGAGTGAGGACTCACGGACGCAAGTTCTTACATACACATATACACATAAAACACACGGCCGTGTCCACGACACAACCACACCTCGATATTTATAATCGTTTTTTATTTAATTCAAAGAGAAGAGAAAGAGGTGATTGTCGTATATAGTGGTCCATTCACTACCCTATATCATTCCGCGAGTGCGTGAGTGAGAGGCGACTGAGAGAAACTGAAACAGGAAGGTGGATAACAGCGATTATGTAACAATAATTCAATAATAATAAAAATTGCGATAAACAATCCACCTGGTAAGCGTGGTAAAACATAACTAACTCTAAAAACTGTCACTGCTGGTGCTATGATACCGGCATTCCATTTGGAACGATATCCTGACACACCTTTCTCGCTTCCTTCACATCATTATATCTACGCATACAAGGCCAGTAACGCAACTGCAATACCCATGGTGTTGTGGTTGTTATTGGGCGGTGGTCGACACTTACAATATCGTTTCGTTCTCGTAAATTTTTCCCTCTTTGTTATATTTGTCTCTATTGTTCCCACAATCTATTGTGGGAGTGAGATATATAATAGAAGGGTGAGGCTATATAATATCGTCATACATGACGTTAAAGTGAATGCGGTGGCCCATAGATATGTACATCTTCTATCCTCAAATGAGAATCAAATTTTAGATGCGTTTGTCATCCCTGAAGACTAAAGTAGAATGTCTCGTTTCAAGTTTTGAGTGTCTTTTTTATAGAATAAGAGTGACAAACGAGCACACAGTCCACCTGATGGTAAATGGATGCTGGGGCCCATAGACATCTACATCTATCTGAAATTAAGGATCAAAATGTAGATGCGTTGTAAGGACTGAAATGGAATGCCTCGTTTTAAGTAAAAAAGGGTCTCCGGTTCTCTACACTCACCATACGAAACACAGCAGTATTAAGCTGCCATTTTACGCTGGTATTCTGCGAGAACGTGGTCCTTCTTCAGTCGAGCCGACCCGTTCGTGCTACAACTATAATATACCATGTAAGGCATTTCATCTTAGTCTCAGAGGTGACAACGCAGTTGTATCCCTCCTTATTTGATGTTGGCTGTAGGAGTCTATGAGCTACAGTGGCTACTTACCATCAGGTGAACTGTAAGTAAGTATATATCATTCGGTTTCCAAACCATCGTACGTTAGTAAATTGTGCATTTAATGTTTCCAGGATGTCCGCGATATGGAGCGCCGGAAGCGCGTCGAGGCGATCATGTCCTCGAAGCTGTTCCGAGAGGAGCTGGAGCGGGTGCTGGACCAGCAGATGCACGAGGGCAACGACGCGCCACTTCTGCAACGCATACGGGAGATGGTGGGCGGGCGGTTGCATACTGGTAGCTTGCGGGTGAGTTTCTCAATTTCAGCAGCCCATACGTGTTTCTGTCTAATAGCTGAGCACCCACAGCAGTGTTAAAAAATAAAACAGTCGCAGCAGTTATTGTGAGACTACAAACATAATAATAATAATGTCCTTTAGACCAAATTTCGGTCACGGCGGCCAGTCTTGGAGACCAGTAATCTGCGCTGGACAGGATTGTAGTGCCCGTGTGTATTCGCAAGCACAGGTGTACTCTACTCCATCACTCTCATAGTCCGATGGAACGGCGATCCGACACGACCGGAGAGAGTTCAGGACCAATGTCCGGCACCTGATCTCTCTCCGGTCTCCGGTCTTTACGTGCTTACGCAAACTTCCTAATTCCGACCTGCCAATAAGAAATTCTTGTCAGAATTATTCAATAACTGATTTCTTGTATTTACGCGAACACTACACATTGATTAAAACTACTTTTACGGATTTTATCGCGTTTATTTTTACTTTTTATTTTTAATTCCCGACGTTTCGGGCGCTTTCCAGCACACATGGTCACGGGGGACTGAGGTGACTGACGTCCCGATGTCATTGTTAAACCCGGAGTACCTTCAGCTTTTTTAATTATTGTTTATGTTATTCAGTCACCGTCCCCCGTGACCATGGGTGCTGGAAAGCGCCCGAAACGTCGGGAATTACAAATAAAGTAAATAAAAAATAAAAATAAACGCGATAAAATCCGTAAAAGTAGTTTTAATCAATATTCAATAAATTATTTTCAATGGGTAGACCGTTGCGTTCACGACCACTAAACCAAAGAGGTGGTCATTAACAAAGTAAGCAACAAATATACCCTTAGCGCTGACTGCCCTATATCCACATCATGGCTTATTGTCGTCTAAATAAATTATTTAGTACTAGACTCTAGTCTACTTCACTTACGAGCGTTTGTACAATGTCTTCGACCCAAATTCGAGTAAACTCAAATATAAAAAAATCGAACTAAATTCGGAAGTCTATTTTGTACTGCGGGGTTATATGAATCCCAGAAAATTTTATATTTGGGATGGATCAGTTGCGGTTTTCTGCAGCGACTGGTGTATTATTGAATTAGAGTGATAAACGAGCACATAGTCCGCCTGATGGTAATGGTAAGCATAAATGTAGATGTTTATGGGCTACAAGATTGATGCTGTGGCCTATAGACATCTTCATCTATTATCGATTTAGAATCAAAATGCAGATGCGTTTTCAAACTTAAGGACTGAACTGGAATGCCACATTTCTAGTAAAAAGGGTCTTCTCAATATTTTTATATCAACATATTCAACATTAAGCTACTACTTTACGCAGGTAATCTGTGAGAACTTTGTACATTCTCGGTCGAACGGACACATTTGGGCTACAACCATAATATAGCTGTAGCGTGGCTGTACCACAAGAAAAAATTATATAAATGTTATATGTTAACATAAATATGTACGTCATTTATCATACGTACAGCAAAGGAGTGGAATAAGTTGCCAGCATCTGTCTTTTCATCCGATTATAGTGTCGAAGTCTTAAAGGCAAGAGTGAATAGGTTTTTGTTAGTCAGTGTGCTTCACCGTCTTAGGCTACATCACCACTTGCCATCCGGTGGGATTGTAGCTAAGTGCTGGCTAAGAATAATAAAATAAACTGCCCTACCTGTAGCTGTCCAACTGTATCTGTAGGAAGCCATTGTAATCAATTTTTAATAAATTAAATAATAATTACCCAGGGTCCCAGCTGCGTTCTGCCCATCAACGACATTCGAGGCATCGAGGGCGTGGGCTACGAGAAGGGGGAGAAGATATTGCGTTGCAAGTTGGCCGCCGTGTACCGTCTGGTCGATCTCTTTGGATGGACGCAGAGTTAGTATGGCCCCAGGGCTTATTTATATTACGGATGCCTAACTTAGGTTTCAGTTATGTACAAGGTAGAACTCCTTTTCTATCCAGACCTCTTATCACTCTATCAAGACGGGTACGTCTTGGCGACTGTCTTACTTGTTTCGGTCACCAAGCAGAGATTAAGAGAGATATAGAGTAAATAGTACAGATTACTATACATATTCAAGTAACGTTTCGTTCTTCGTGACGATCCGTTTTATTACTTTAAGAAGTGCATGTAAAACAGTTTTTATTCAAAATTAAACATCATTAAGCGGTTTTCAAGTTGTTAAACCAATATTTTGTTTTAAAAAGGCAACCAATTTCAAACAAAGTACACAGGCTACAGTTTTTTTATAGAATAAGGTGCCATACGAGCACGCGGTCCGCCAAGTGGTAAGTGGATGCTATGGCCCATAGACATCTGCATTTATCCTCGATATATATATTCGTAAATATGGATCTCTGTGTCTGCAATAAAGAATTATTATTATTAAAACACAGATGCCCTGTCACCCGTGAGGATTAAGATGGAATGCCTCATTTCCACTAAAAAGGGTCTCCGGGTCTCTACACTCACCAATCGAAACACAGTAGCATTAAGCTTCTATTTTATGCTGGTATTTTGTGAGAGCATGATCCTTCCCCGGTTGAGCTGACACATTCGTGCTACAACCATAATATAGCTGCAACGTGTTTCTACCATGTATAAAGTAAAATAATATAATAATAAATGTATATAACATATGTAATATATATAAAAGTAAAGTAAAGTTACAGCCCATATACGTCCCACTGCTGGGCTCAGGCCTCCCCTCATTTCTGAGAGGGTTTAGGGCAAGGAAGTGTCCGCCGCGCTGCCCAAATGCGTGTTGACGAACTTCACATATGTTCGAAATATTTTTTTTTGTTATGTTGTATATATATATATATATATATATATATATATATATATTTTATTTTGTTTTTTGTTGTATTTATATATATATATATATATATATATATATTACATAGCATAATAAATATATATAATAGGTAAGAAGATGGTGCTATCCAAACAAACTTCTCGGCAAAAGAGAAGTCGAATACTATGTAGTAGTATTGTTGATAACGATTGTTTAAAGTTATTTGAGCTAACCCACATAATAGACTATATTTTATTTATAGGGTATCTGTATAGTTTTTCCATCTTGTTGGGTTTTATGAATATATAATAATTGTAAATGAAAAACATGCATAAATATCACTAAAATAAAATAAATACATAAACATACATAAATAAATAAAAACCCAACCAGATGGAAGCCCTCGGCAGGAAAGACCAAACGGCCGAGGGTTAGGGGGAAAGTGAAATAAACCGGTGGACGATGCAAACGGTATCGAGGACCTTTGCATGAGCTGGAACGTTCGTCACGCAGTCTCAGTCGCCTCATTTGACCCGAGAGGCTGTCTGGAATTAACCTATTCGCAGAAACAACTACACGATATTTTATTTTATTATTATTGCTTCCAAATCAATGTTAGATGTTCTGTGATGTGATGAACTTTGTACTGCAGTGGTATCTACTTGTATACATAGTTAGTCTGTTGCTCGTAATATAGATATTGGATGCTGTATCGATATGTATAGTTATTGTATCTAACGATTTATATTGCTCACTCTTTTATGTTATAATTACATTTCTTTACTTTTTTCCAGCTGGCATCACGGGTCTGATTACGGCCCGCCTGAACACCGCAGTGGAGCAAGTGCTCACGTCTCCACGCGGCCTTCTTCCTCATGAGGTGACGGCTTCCTCGCTGGTGAAGGTCGATATGCAGGGGGTCGTCCAGGATCAAGGCACTACCAACTTCCCCGTCAACCTTGAAGGTGAGCTTGGAAATGGAATTCCTATCCACATCCTACAGTATGGCAAATAGTTTGTATTAATGAGGTGTCTTTTTTACATAAATTTGTTGTTGGACATCCAGAACTGTTACAATTATTTGTAGAAAATTTTAACTACTTATTCCATGTAGGATTCGAACCTGTGCATTTGGTTACCATGCTGCGGGTTATAGCAATCAACAGTGGCACGCTGATATCAAATCAAATTATCTAAGTTTAATCTACCTTCAGTTCATATAATAACAATGTGGAAGAAATATATATGGGTTTATTTATTGTTACTTTATTAATATTAATCAATAAGGTTGACAATAAATGTGTATTGCGGTGTAGTGGTCAAAGTAAAATCGACTTACGACCAGACTCAGTATAAAAGTAAAGTAAAGTTACAGCCTATATACATCCCACTGCTGGGCACAGGCCTTCCCTCATTTCTGAGAGGGTTTTTAGAGCAAGGAAGTGTCCGCCGCGCTGCCCCAATGCGTGTTGGCGAACTTCATGTCATTGAAATTTTTTTTCCTTAGTTTCCTCAGTACCGCGAATCAGCACTTAAAATTGCAATTAATTATTTCATTGGTGCCGGCGGGGATCGAACCCGGATTACTCGCGTTCTGTTATATTTATAGCAAGCGTTAACCATCTGAGCTACCACGGCTCGCCTCAGTATAGTTACATTCATTTATTCAATCATTATAGCCTTTCAAACATAGGTCGCCATATGGAGCTAAGTGTTTAGCATAGTTTCCATACTTCGACAGTTTTTTATTATCTATGTGTTATTAGGAAAACGCTGTTATTTTCTAGTTTGTTTTCCTCTGTCGCCTCTTTCTATTATGAAATTCTCAGTAGCACCCCGGAGTCAGAAAGTTAGCAGGTCTTTCCCGGTGCCTCGGATATATTGTAAAGCCGTTGGTTCTGCGAATGACTTTTGCAGTTGTGTTGGATTGCCAATCCATCGGATTATGAGAGTGAGGGAATAGCAGTGCACTTGTGCTTGCGCATACACCGTGCCACTATAATCATATTCTGCATATGCCTAGTATTTGTTCAAACTGGCTGCCCTGACTGAAATTCGGTCCGGAAGTCTTTATTATTACACGGTCATCAGTGTATAGTTTATATGTAGTAGAGACATGTTGCAGCTTTATTATACCTGATAGCGCGAATCGGACGGCCCGAGAGGGGCTGAGGAGGATCACGCTCGCATAGAGTACCAACTTTAGTGCTGTAGGTTGAGTATTGAAACGAGGCATTCTATTTTAGTTAGTCTTAGTATTCAGGGGCGATATTGCATCAGCAGCAGCTCAATTGAAGATAGATGTAGACTTGTGTGGGCTACTTACGAGTACTTAGCACTTATTAGATGTTATTTATCTTATTGTACTGGTAGAGAATTCCTTAAAACCTTAAGTCTGTCCATTAAAGCGCTTAGATTAAGGTGTATTACAATCAAGATTAAATAAATAAAATAAAAACATGTGCAATGTGTTCGTTCTTACGCGGTAGAAATGAAACCTCCAGGAAAGTGGACTGAGATAATAGGAAAGACTGTATTATACTTGTCATATTAGAGGCGAGAGCGGTATGTCAGGATCGTGCTAAATGGAAGTCTGTAGTCTCTGCCTACCCCTCTGGGTGACAGGTGTGAGTGTTTATATATATATTTATATTCCCTTGCAGTCTAAACCCTATAGATGTATAGGTTTTAGACTGTAAGGGAATATGATATAAAGAAGTTTTCCTTCAAAAATAACTATATGTAAAATTGTAAATTAAAAAATAGGGTTCAAAGTGAAATCGACTGTAAATAGTTAGGAATAAGGTGTATATTTTCATGTCGTATGTCACACATACAAACATCGACCTTAAACCGCTTGTAATAAGGTGTATATTTGTTGTCAGGTTTCGGCGTGGCGGCGTGCGTGCACGCGGCGCGGCCTGACGTGCGGTGCGTGGTGCACGTGCGGTCGGCGGGCGCGCTCGCCGTGTCCGCCACGCGCCGCGGCCTGCTGCCGCTGTGCGCCGAAGCCGCGCTGCTCGGCTCGCTCGCATACCACGCCACTCCCTACGGTTAGTAGCATACACACATACACACGCACACGCACACACACACACACACACACATACACACACACACACACGCACGCACGCACGCACCTCAAGACGCCGCGAGCAGTACACGACGATGCTAGTAGCACACGCACGCGCAAGCAGTGCGCAACGCTAAACACACACAAAAACACGCAGAGACACACCGCGAGCAGTTCATAACGATATTAGTAGCACACGCCCACCAACGAAGTTCCACACACAAACACTCCGCACCTAATACACTAGTAACAAACGAAGCGCCATCGATTACTAGTAGCAGTTTGGGCATACCCCGCATGCACACACACGCACACGAACACCCGCGCTCATACCCACACACACGCTAAACGCGTGCGCGCGCCCAGCCGTAGCCAACACACACACGCACACGACTAGCTGTGGGATACACAGTTCCACACAAATACACGATGAGAAACAAGAATGATATGAGTTACCCACGTCAAGCTGCGAGAAACACGCGTACACAGAGACACATCGCAAGCGTAACACGACGACTGGCCTAGCGATGTTAATAATACTAATTGCCCATGCCCACTCCCAACGGTGGGCAGTGCCACATTTGCACAGATCGACATCACCCACACTTCTAATCATAAACTCCCATGTCAATACCCAACTAGACTTTTTACTTGGTAGAGCCACGCTGCAGCTATATTATGGTTGTAGCACGAATGGGTCGGCTCGACCGGGGCAGGACCACGCTCTCACAGAATACCAGCGTAAAATAGCAGCTTAATACTGTTGTGTTTCGTATGATGAGTGTAGAGAACCGGAGACCCTTTTTACTGGAAACGAGGCATTCCTTAGTTCTCATGAGAGACATCGCATCTGCATTTTGATTCGTAATCGAGGACAGATGTAGATGTCTATGGGCCACAGCAACCACTTACCATCAGGTGGACTGTGTACTCGTTTGTCACCCTTTACCTATAAAAAAAACTGAGGTCAACACACACACACCACTCAATACATATACAATCACTTGCATACATCTATGCCCACCTGTGGGCAACATACACACAAGTCATTCATAGATTAGATTAGATATTATATTACGACGGGCTATGTTCTGCAACTTCTATGACTATAACGATTATTCGAGCCATGAAATCTCCGCCAGATCAATTTCGGGGAGTGATCCCGGCGTGCCGAGATGTGAAGCAACATGTAGTTCGCCGTCCTCTATACATGCCCTGCGCAGGACAAGCCTCTCATATATGTCACCGAACTTAGCGCTGTCAAGAGTGTATATCGACCAGTATAACGTCGTCTACATATTAATCACACGCTCAAGTTCATGTCCATTACTGGACTAGCGCATTACTTGTCAACCATCCTAGGGGCATCTCTACTATCATTATGAACAAGCTGAACAGGGTTCATTAAGACTACTGCATTGTACGGGTCGGCTCGAAGGATCACACTCTCACAGAATACCAGCTTGAATTAGCAGCTAATTGCTGCTGAACTGTTTTCCCTTGTGTCTTGTTAGTCTACGTCGTTAACCCATCCAACCACCGCTAAAGTCAACATGGATTTTCCTCAATAGGTCACTCTTGGCGGACCAATTGAACTTTCTGCTGCTGCCTGGGAATTTTACGTCTGGCATTAACAAGATGATGTGCCACCAATCTTTTAACCTATTCGCTGTCCCATCTACTACATATAGTTCATTGTTATTGTTTTATTATTGTGTATGAAAATTGGACAGTGAGTGTTTAAATACATAAGTTTTTTTTCTGATATTTCTCGTAGTGTTTTAGAACACTCACAGAATGAAATTCTCTTATGGACGCAGGTTGTTAATTAACCCTATTTCTGGTAACGGCATTTCTCGTAATCTTTATATTTTATAACTTCACCTAAGCTGTGTCATCCCGTCCCCGTCCGACTGTCATCTTGGTATCATGGTGCAGACATCCAGCACTGTCTAATTTTTTTATGTACATTTATTTATATGGTGACAATAGGTGCCAGGATGCCAGGTTGAATACAAGCCTGAAATAGTAGCTTAATGCTGCTGTATTTCGTATGGTGAGTGTAGAGAACCGGAGACCCTTTTTACTGGAAACGAGGCATTCCATCTCAGTCCTCACGGGTGACAACGCATCTGCATTTTGATTTTTAATGGAGGATAGATGTAGATGTCTATGGGCCGCAGCAAAAACTTACCATCAGATGGACTGTGTGCTCGTTTGTCACCCTAGTCTATAAAAAAAAAGGTGCTTTAAAGTGCATTGCACAGAACTGCACTGTAAAGTGCACTGTTGGTACTGCCTCGTTGATCTAGTGGTTGTAATACTGCGACAGCTGATCATGAGGTCCTGGGTTCGAATCCCGCGTCGGGCCATGAAAATCAATTATTGAGTTTTTTCGTCAAGAAATTCTCAGTAGCTGCTGGGAGTCAGGAACTTGGCAGTGTCTCACCCCCGTGCCTCGGAAAGCACGTAAAGCCGTTGGTCCTGCGCCTGATCTTCTCCCAAGTCGTGTCGGTTTACTGTCCTATAGGACTATGAGAGTGAGGGAATAGAGAGTGCACCTGGGCTTGCGCATACACTCGGGCACTATAATCCTGTCCTGCGCCGATGGCTAGTATCGGTTGAGGCAGGCCGCCGTGGCCGAAATTCGGTCTGGAGGACATTATTATTTATATGGTACAACTATGATAGTTTACGAACTAATACTCCCGCCATACTTACGTTCACTCAAATAGTTGAACTATTGAAGAGAAGTTGGATTTATATTTAAATAAATTATTACCTGACTGTACAAGGGATGACCCCGCATCTAAATTTTGTTCCTTAATCAAGCATAGATGTCAAATTGTACTATGTAAATGGAGCTTAAGAGTTTGTCACTTGAGTAAAAGTAAATGTTTGGTACGCAGGTGAACTGGATAACGAGGAGCGCGACAAGCTTGTGCGCGCTCTGGGCCCCAGTGCTAAGGTGCTGGTGCTGAGCGGCAACGGCGCGCTGTGTTGCGGCGCCACGCTGGAGGAAGCCTTCTTCCAGGCCAAGAACCTGGCCGCGGCCTGCGACGTGCAGTTGCGCCTGGCCACCCAGCCGCTCGACGAACTGTACCTGCTTGACGAGCACACGCGGCGCCAGGTACGCACACAACAGGAGGCACTCAAAGCTCCATCGCGGACAAACAACGTGACACGTAATTTTTATATATATATATATTTACACAATCATAAACAAACAAAACTAGAAGGCAAAATAAAAAAAAATTGTTCTTTTCTATTTTAGACAACACTTGGTACATAATTTATCGAAATACGACTCGTATATTAATTTTATAACATACTAATTTTTAATCAAACAGATGTTTACATTCATAGTTATTTCTATGTATTAATTATAAATGTATTATATGTATATATATATGTATGCATAGGTTATATTTTTATACTTTATTTATCTGTGAAATGTATTTATGTTGTTAAATATCAACATAATTTTTTGTAATTGTTTTCAAATATTTTTTTACTTTATTTTGCTACACCTACATAAAATTCCCATCACTCCATGAGTGAATGATAGAGCCCCCATAGAATTAAGTCCGTCCTTTGTATTCTTTTGTAATAGGGAACCTGAAACGGCTCCAATGATTTTCCTAAAATTTAGTGTCCGGGGGTTTCGGGGGCAAGATAAATCGATCTAGCTAGGATTCATTTTTAGAAAATGTCATTTTATCGTGTTTTCAGGTAATGAAAAACTGTACATTGTTACAATAGAAGGCAAAATTATTTTTAATATTTCTTATATTTACGCGAACACTATACATGATTAAAACTACTTTTACGGATTTTATCGCGTTTATTTTTACTTTTTATTTACTTTTATTTTTAATTCCCGACGTTTCGGGCGCTTTCCAGCACCCATGGTCACGGGGGACTGAGATGACTGACGTCCCGATGTCATTGTTAAACCCGGAGTACCTTCAGCTTTTTTAATTATTGTTTAGTTTAGGTGGTAGTACCCAGCCTCCTTTTGAAGGAGGCTGGGTACTACCACCTGCTTGGGATCCTATAATCAATAAAATTAAAACTAAACCCAAGCGTACCACTGCAAGACCTCAGGACATAGTCAGTTCATTTTGCATAGATCGGACCATAAACAATAATTAAAAAAGCTGAAGGTACTCCGGGTTTAACAATGACATCGGGAACGTCAGTCATCTCAGTCCCTCGTGACCATGGGTGCTGGAAAGCGCCCGAAACGTCGGGAATTAAAAATAAAAGTAAATAAAAAGTAAAAATAAACGCGATAAAATCCGTAAAAGTAGTTTTAATCAAACTTGTTAATGATTAAAATAACTCAAATGTGATATCGGGCGGTCCCGAGATCGTAGTAATCTGGTTCAAGTCCTGTCTTTGATCCGACTTTTTTCCTTTTTTTTTTCAAGTTCTCTTCTTTTGTGAGAAAATCTTTTATTTCGAGCCTTATTTTTAGTATTTTTTTTTAAACACGTAAATTTAATTTAAACTTATTGCACTCATGGTTTTTTTATTCAAATAACCAGTTAGTTCAGTTTTTTTTTATTATGTCAGTAAGATCAAAAAATATTATTCATATTTCATCAGTATGTAATTTGTATCTAAATATAATTTCCAAAACACACAATTAAAAAAAAAATCGGTCATCCAGGTACTACAGTAATGATGTTTGAAAAATCTAATGTTGTATTTTATGTTATATGGTAATGTACGATGGTGTTGCAGATCTACGAGGCGTCCCGCAAGCCACCGAGCGACGCGGGCAAGTGGCGCGTGGGCGGCGAGGAGTTCGAGGCGCTCATGCGCATGCTGGACAACGCCGGCTTCCGCACCGGCTACATCTACCGCCACCCGCTCGTCAAGGTCACTCCCACAACATTTGTTCACAATATATGCTAAATTACCACCACCTATACTATCACTACCACCATTATACCCAACTCCTCACACTGCGATGGCTAAATTTCTATAAGGTAACGCCTTCCTTTACTAACATTACTATTGGTTATGGAAAATATTTTTTTAAAACTTCCCCTCCCCCCCACACACACACACACACATACACTAGAATTTTCTCCTGTATTGTTGAGGCAATTAACAAACAAATTGCACAAGGACAAACATCCAGACCTGGAACAGTTATTTGTAGACCATACAAATACTAGTTCCGTGCGGGATTCGAATTTTCAAATTATCCGGCTCGACATATCAAATGGCCCATAGAACTTTGCATGTGCACCGCTCTATTTAGGAAGAGTTCAAGACGCTCATGCGCATGCTGACAACTCCGGCTTCCGCACCGCACTTATATTTACTATCACTGCCCTAAACTGCGACTAAACCCAACACCACACTGACAGTAAACCACTTAGCACTATAACAATCTTGTATGGAGTAACGCCTGCCTCTACTATTATCCGGTTCGAAGGATCAAATATTTCATAGAACCTTGCAACTAATTGCAATACTATTATAACTACACCTCTTCACACGTCCACTGCTGAACTCGAAAAATTCAACAAGACTTGTTGCGTTTTTAGGGTTTCGGAAGCTTAGTACAGTCCTGAGCCACCTGCATTCAACGATTTCACACACCACCACGAAATCTTAGACGAAAAGGACTACTGCCCTAGTACTACTTATGAAAAAAATTTAGTACTTATGCCAGATCCCAAAACTTTATGTAAATCTCATTGTTTAAAATGTCTGTCTGTTTACAGAACGATGTGCCCAGGCCCAAGAACGACGTTGAAGTACCACCAGCGGTGTCATCTCTTGGATATCTTCTAGAAGAAGAAGAACTCTACAGGCAAGGGTAAATGTTTTTTATTGATGTCATTGCTATTGTAAGACAATCTTAGTCTTTATCATAAAAACAAAAGAAATGCTTAAAGTTGCCCTGTCTCTATTCACAAAGTGACAATAGAATGAGACAGATATAGAGATAGTTAATACTTTATTTAAGTAAGCGATTATTAACGATTTTAAATTAGGCCATGAATCTTCTTTTTATTTTCTGTAAGAGTCATAAGACAGATGTGATATGGGGTCATGGGTCACATTTCTTTTATGATTAGTACTGTGGCTAGTGAATAGCTACAACTAGCTTTTTTTATAGGATAGGATGACAAACGAGCACACAGTCCACCTGATGGTAAGTGGTTGCTGTGGCCCATAGACATCTACATTTACCCTCGATTAAGAATCAAAATGCAGATGCGATGTCAGCCTAGAGGACTAAGATGGAATGCCTCGATTCCAGTAAAACGGGTCTCTGGTTCTCTACACTTACGAAACGAAACACAGCAGCATTCAGCTGCTATTTGACGCTGGTATTCTGTGAGAGCGTGTTCCTTCCCCGGTCGAGCCGACCCATTCGTGCTACAACTATACTACTAATATAACTGCAACATAGCTCTACCACGTAAATTCTATGGTTTTGATATGAGGGCTATGATTTGATATGATATCCACGACTTTTTCTGCCACCATTTAAAATGAGGTTTAATATTTGACAGATTTCATAGTGGGGAAGTTAATTTGTTCGAAAATTGTAAAGGCTGTTTCTTTCTGTACTATTAGTTATATTTTATAAATCATGGATATTAATAAAAATAAAAAATTGTTAAAAATGTGCAAAAACTTAAAGAACAAACCACAAAGGCTTTGTTTTGTATATTAATATAATAACTCTAGAAACTGATAAACTTTTATTTAATACTAAATTATTAATGACATTGTATAGCAAAAAACTTTACCTCAGTGTCAAGTAACGACATCTGGTGAGCGTAAAATGATTAGCCCTCATTGGCTTCAAGTGTCTATGGACTTGCTGTAGCCACTTACCATGTGGACTGTTAGTACGTTTGTCACTTAATTATATATTAAAAGGTTGGCTTAAATTTCAGTGTAAAAACTATTTCTACCCCCTCAGGTACTGGAAAAAAGGACAGGGCAAAACCGGCGAACGCACCCGCTGGCTGAACTCGCCCAACGTCTACCAGAAGGTGGAAGTCCTCGAAACCGGCACCACCGATCCGAAGAAGATCACCAAGGTAGAATACCTGCGTGTTGAGGCCGAGTAGACCCGTCTACTGGCTTAACAGTCTATAGGAGAGATGTTGAATCGAGCATATAGAGGTGGACTTCGTATATTGATTGAATTTTAGTTTAGAAATCAACATTGGCATTAAAATCGTATATTGTAATTAATTAAGTGGCTATAATATATTTAAGCAAAAAAAAAATTCTTTGCTGGAAGGAAACGAGTTAATTAATAAAGTTTGCACAAATCAACAAAAAGTCAGTCCATGTATGAAGTCTTTAATAGCAATTGTATGGGTTTTAGAAGAGTCCTAAAAGTCGTGAAATGCTTATCTTACAGTTTGTTTTATATCTGTATGTGTATTTTCCCTTTATAATAACATCTATAAAACCACGTGTAAATGCTCAATTAATCTAACCAGTTTTAACTTTCTAATAAACCGACAAAGTTTTGAAACCCCATTTAAAGTTGCAAATTCAAAATAATTGATGTAGTAATTTATTAATGATAGAAATGCTGTTTCTCCTATTATGAAGTTATTATTAAACGCAAAGAGACCGACTACAGTGATCGCTTTAATATGTGTGTTTGAGTTTCCGTCATATTTATTATGGTGACGTCATTTAGTGTATGATGTTACCCGTGCAATCATGATAAATTAATTGAGACTTCATTTCTCTATACTAAACAACTAGTCTAGTAGTTACGAGCGGACTTGAGTTAAACCAAGTATCCGGCTCGAAGGACCATAACTAACACGACTTTTACCGTCACATTCAAAACTATCCAGTTATAATGCTTAGATATCCTTTTAGATTTAAAGCGTTGAAAATATAATATGTTATATGTTGGTACAAGAGATATAGTATTAAATGTAATTCCATATTCTACGGTGTAGGAAAAGTTGCATTTTATTAATCACATTTAACTGAAGCAGTTTCGTTGAATTTTGACTATACAACATGTTACAAAAACCCTGTGGTTCCAGTATGTGCGTTATTAGAATCAGTATTCAAACGTATAGAAATAACTACTTCAGAAAACTCAACCATAAAAAAATACATTTGTATTTACACATTGTATATGAGTTTATTATCCCTGTTTTTACCGGGGAGTAAGAGATTGTCAAAGGCACCGCTTCTGTTATTGTAGATTTTTTTTTGATTTGATGATGATTTTGATTTGAGTTGTTTCAGTTAATGTAGATATAATTTAGTAAATTACCGATTGTAAACACTAAAATCACTTTAACAACGATTAAAAAATTTTCACTGTCGTAATTGCCATACTTATACGCTCCTTGAATGACCACCAGGTTTTTGTTATATACTTTATTAATTGTATCAACCTATAGAGAGAATTTATGTTGGAATAAATCTCCTCCTGTAATAGGGAGGATCTGGGCTACGCCTGGCAGGTAAATAATTCGCGATCGCGTAGAATCAGACGATCACAGCTTTCCGTCTCTTTCAGTTTCCAGTTTGTGAATTTTATATTTGGTTATAGCGCCCTCTACCGGAGGTCATAACATCTTCTGTCCCTTACTATTTGTTGCCTTTTAGCGCCTGTTACCCATAGCGCTCCTACGTACTAGCGGTTAACCGCTAGTACGTAGGAGCGCTATGGGTTGTGGGTTGGAATCCATCGTTCAATTAGTGTCGTGAACCACTCGTAATATCAGCATTTAAGGCATACCAGGAAGCAGCAGTGGCAGCAACAGCAGAAGGCAATATTAGTAATCATTTTAATCGGAAACCCAGTAAAGAAATATCTTTGAGCATAAATAAAAATAATATTCAGAGAGAAATTCAATAAGACCATATCGTAGAGTTTTCAATTCGATCTAACCATTGTTACATAAATTTTTTAATAAGAAAATAAAAGTGTAATTTTGACTTCAGTAACTGCCTCAGTTTAATGTGAAATAAATTTCTTCACATATTTTATTCTAAACTCACTTTCAAATTATAGGACTTCTTATACAAAGGCTTTTACTATAAATATTTTAATCTACTTTTTATAATTTTAAGGCTAAATCTGTTACATTCCATTCTTGGTGGGAATATTTTTTAATTTTTTTATTATGTTCCTAATCTTTTGGTTAGTGGCTTCTGAGTGAAGATAATTTATTTATTTTATTGTATTTTTTTAATACTATTTTTCATGGGTCATGGGTTAGCTTTTCTTTCGGTTGTTTTTTTAATATACTTCCAAAGTTGTCGTTATTTTTTATTTCATTTCGCTACAGTTTTTTTTAAGACGTTCATTATTATGTTCAAATGGAAACAATTTTTATTGATATACGTACTAAGCCATATTTGACATATAAAGTATATTATGTTGATATTACTAAAGGATTTTTAGTTATATGTGATTAGGACTAATGTAGCGCTCAAAGATTTTACTATTATTTTAATTTTAACGTAAATTCATCGAAAATTATCGTAGAAATAAAGATAATATTTATGTATATTTGCATATTAAGAATTGTATGATTGACATTATAGTTTAGTTGAAAGCAAAAACTTTTCTTTTAAATTAGTTCCTATTAGGATGTTTCTCTCAATTTTGGAAATGAGTCTTTGAAATAGTTTTTGCTCGCTCTAATATATTAGCTTATATGTATAGAGAACTGCTTTTCAAATTTTATGTCTACAGAACGTATTAAATATTAAAAACCATTTAAAAAATTAACCAATCTATCTTTCAAACAACTCTAAATGAAATGCTTTTGAAATAACACACTAATTGATTTTTTTTGTTATTTTTTTGTTTTGTTTAATGAGTGTTGTTTTTTTTATGTGTGACTAATATAATAATGTTTTGCAGTGGGTGGACGCTAACAACGAAGAGGTAAATAATATTTTCGTTCGAAAACATCTCAAGTTTTCTTTTTTTTTTTCTGTATACTAATGAAAGCACTCGCTATACGAGTAGTCAGCACAATCTTGACGTATGTATCGATATGAAGTAACTGGGCTCGAGTCCAATGTACCAAATTACATCATACAATATGCAGTGGTAGAGCCACGAATGGGTCGACTCTACCGGGGAAGGACCACGCTCTAACATAATACCAGCGTAAAAAAGCAACTTAACGCTGCTGCGTTTCGTATGGTGAGTGTAGAGAATTATTGATTATATAGTTCTTACTTGATAGATGTAGATGTCTATGGGCCACAGCGTTCACTTAACATCGAGTGGATTATGTGTTAGTTTGTCACCTTTGGTCCGAGCCATGGTAGCTTAGATGGTTAGCGCTCGCTGTAAATATCACAATACGCGAGCAAACCGGGTTCGATCGGCCCGCTGGCACCAATGAAATTGTTAATTGCAATTAAGTGCTGATTTACCACGTGCTCGGCGGTGAAGGAAAACATCGTGAGGAAACCTGCATATCTGAGAAATAAAAAACCAACACGCAGTGGGGCAGCGCGGCGAACTATTCCTTGCCCTAAAACCCTCTCAGGAATGAAAGGAGGCCTGTGCCGGGCGTTATAGGCTGTAACTTTACTTTACTTGTCACCTTTATACTATGAGAAATCGGGGTTTAGCTGTGTTGTAAAAACGTTTACGTTTTACGTAAGACCGTGTCCGTAACCAAACGATCTACACGATACGTCAGTCATCACTCAATGTAACGAACTCTTTGAGGAAGTTCTTTAGTTGTTGAGTGTTATAATTAAATTTTATTTAAATTGGATTTGATAGATATGTACCTGCAACACCAAACTGTAGCCCCCGATTTTTCATGGAAACAACTTTAAAAACCTTTCACGTCAAAAGTGAATTTGTAGTGACAATTTAAATAAGACATCTAGCTAAAAAATGTAGCACGACTTTTCGCCCGTAAGTCACATGAAATGAAACAGAAAGGTACATCGAAAGAAATCGATGGTTTATTTGATTAGAAATGTTTTAAGAAGTGGCAATATCTTGTGCGTCAATTCTGCGAGTCGTGAGTGGATTGCGACTTGAGACCAAAAACGCAAGTCTAGCTGAAACAACCAAACAAAACTAAAAAAATTATACCACTAGACCGGCAATTCAAAACGAAAAACTGTGTCATAGCCGTGAATCACGCGGGTGGTAGCTGGTAGCCGGCGGCCTTAGGACATGCACCACCCCACATCATCCCTTGGATGTCGTAAGAGGCAGCAAAGAGGAAATAATAAAAATACTGCGTTTGCCAACTTGCCTGTCAAGCGTGCTTGCCAAATATCCCCTCTATGGGGGAGGCTTATGTACAGTAGTGGACTTTTGATGGGCTGTAATGGTGATGATAACTTTACGTGCTGATTTACCACGTGCTTGGCGGTGAAGGAAATAATCGTAAAAATCCTGGAAGTCTAATAAATTTAAAAGAAAAACGTGAAGTCGGCCCACATATATTGGGGCAGCAAAGCAGTCGTTTCCTTGCTCATTCTTCTTGAAAGGTTTTTTACTTTTACTGCTTTAGGTAATAACCCAATGCGTTTTTCTGTCAAATCGTTGAAGCAATAGTTATTTATCTCTTATTGATGTCGCTGTGAAAACTTTTAGAACAAATTACATCGTTCACAAGAGGCTTTCATTAGTATAACCTAAGAATATATTTTATCTATTTCTTTTTTCTTCTCTTCTTTACGCTATTTCTTCCTCTTTTTGGTTCTGCTATCATTGGGACTTTCATCTGTCGGTATGTCTAGGTATAAAACATTTGTGAATGTATGGAATGTATGAAAATGTATGTGTGAAGCAGATTGTGTGATTTCATGTCACTTTCGGTAAACGGCGGTTCGTACTTCTTTGGTCTGCGGTGTTCTCACCTGCTAATAATGCTATTTTAACAGATTAATAATTTATATTTTTACATCAACGATAACTTTAAAATTTCAAGGGCATTTCATTAATCCTACCCTGGTACTTTGAATCAAATTATTAATAAAATAATTTCATTCAACATCAAAAATACATCGAGTCTGTACAGTGTAGGGCAGAGAAAATTAAAAAAAAATCAATAAACTAGACAAAAATGTTGCCATCATAACGTATAGTTTCTCCCTGCACAACCAATTCCCGCAAGTCATTGTTCCTTCCTATATATTTTTTTTCTGAAAAGAATGTTTTTTTTTACTTGCAAGTCTACGCTTTTAAAGAGCTTTGCATGGAATGTTTGTATGATAATTGTCATAATATCGATATTAAAAAAAATCTGTACACGCTCGATGAGTTTGCCAGGATGAAATTCGATCAGCTGTTTGATTTCTCTTTTATTTTCGCATTGCACGTATATTTTTCCTTATTTATAAATGCCACCTACCACTTACTTCACCTTACTGACCTTTTTATTAACCTGACCTTGTTTCGAAATATTACAACGTTTGCTGGCAACATTTTTACTAATTTATTCTTTTTTTCTCTTCCCTACGCTGAAAATCGTCGTTCCGGCGAAACGTACGGTCACTGTGTGTTGTGACTTTGAAATTGGATCTTAATACGTGGGGCAGTGGGTTCAAGATGGGTCACCGGCTCACAATAGCACTCCTGTCAAGATCGATACACTCCAATTTGTGCCTAAGAACACGAACCCCAAGGAATTCAAGCAGCTGCAACAACAGGTATGTTATCTTTTATAAGTTTATATGAAGTTGAATTTAAAGCACATGCGTTGCATAATCCTCTAATATATTGATGTAAATAAGGCCAACGTGTAGCCACGGTATTACCAACCCAAACCCAAGGGAAACCCCAAGGGAATCTAGCTCTTAATATAATATGGATAAGGAAGTCTCTCCCCTTTTAAATATTCGTTCAATTGTTCATGGCTATCAAAGTCCACTGGTGAACATAGGCCCCGTACGGCGGATATTTATTTATTTATTACTAGCGTGACAGGCAGACGTTGTTCTGCTCTTTTCGACGACCCTTTGTCCTATTAAAAATCCTTAAATTCCCAAAAATAATGGCGGGTCACTCATGGGCAAAAAACTATCCTATCTCTCAAGTTGGACCAAACTGTACACGGTGTGCAAATTTGATTAAAATCGGTTAAGTAGTTTAGGAGTCCATCGCGGACAAACAACGTGACACGTAATTTATATATATTAAGATATGAATAACAAAACAGATAACCAACAAATTACATTTAAAAAAAACATGTATTTAACAGTTCCATACGAGATTGATATCCTAAATATGTTGACACATCATTTTTTTAAATGAATTACAAAAATTTTCGGTAAATAATATTTATGACATGTACTTAACATATGTATGTAAATGTTTTATATGTTTTTTTGTTGTCTCCGCCGGTTCTTGTCAAATGTCTAACATTTATAGTTTACTATACGTGTGTTTTAAATTGTCACCTACTATGTGCATATCGGGAAATGTTATGTAAGAAGAAATAACAAAAATGTGGAAGATGAAAAAGTTTTTATAATACTTATAGTACTTTCTACCACCGCAATAGTCCCGAAGCAATTACATCATAGTTTGAAAATGCTGGACATGTTACATAACTCATACATTAATGTACAAGAAGAAGCAATCTTAATTAAATACATGTCCCATTGTTCGAAAATTCATGCAGGATGACAGTAATATAGCTTATCCCCTATTACCATGACGGTTGCTTGGTTTCAACCCGTAATCGCCATTTATTTACCAGTTTTTAGCTGAGAATTTTTTTTCTTATTTGAGACCAATCAAACTCTGGTAACGGCGACCAGTCTCAACGGGACACTAGCTGTCAGCGCAGGATAGGATTATAGTGCACGAGTGTACGCAAGCACAGGTGCACTCATATTGTCACACTCTCATAGTCTTATAGAAAAACCTAATACATAAAATATTTTGTACCGACCCGGGATTGGAAACCGGGACCTTATGATCAGAAATCACATTTACGATCAATGAGACAGTAAAAATAATATACAATAATATTTCATTGAGTGTATAATACTTTTCAGAAATATATTAAAAATATGAAATATATAAATAAATGTACTTTGTATTAAGAGTACAATTACAATACAATTAGTTCTACTGTGGAATCTTTTTTTTATCATGTATGTCGGCTGTATTTAGATCAAGGAGAACCGTCGCGCTGACAAGATCAGCGCTGGGCCACAGTCCCACATCCTGGAGGGCGTCACTTGGGACGAGGCCACCAGATATGTGGGCGAGGACGCCGCCAACACGCACACCGGCGACCACGTCGTGAGTATCACATTTTTAACCCTGCACTTCCTTATCCCTCTTTTTCCTGATTTTTTTGTAAATTTAAGACCCATTGACTCTAATGCATTACTTAAATATGTAATTTTTAGACGTATTTATTTATTTATTCACAAACATCTTAAAAGGCGTGGTAACTCATATGGTTAAAGCTCGCTTTTAATATAACGGAACGCGAGTAACCCGGATTCGAACCCCGCCGGCACCAATGACATTATTAGTTGCAATTTTAAGTGCTAATTTACCACGTGCTTGGCGGTGAAGGAAAAGAAACATCGTGAGGAAACCTTCATGTCTGAGGAATAAGAGAAAAAAATATATTTCGAAGACATGTGAAGTTCGCCAACACGCAGTGGGGCAGCGCGGCGGACACTTCCTAGCCCTAAAACCTTCTTAAAAATGAGAGCAGGCCTGTGCCCAGCAGTGGGATATATATAGTTTGTATATTATAAAAAGGTAATTTTAATCATAATAATAGAATTTGATCTAGAGATGATGAAAATTGCATCGCCACGTCCATCGCGATCTCGCTCATTCTTAACAGTTCGTTCAATTTGAGCACTTGCTAGAGAAACCTTCGGCGTAGACCAAGTCTTTATCCCGTTTTGACTGAAGGCTAAAAAGCCTCGGCGTCGGCCAAATCTATGGCCTATTTTGACCGTAGCAGTCAGTTCTATTTCGGCACTTGCTAGAAATCTTCGGCTTCGGCTAAAACTTCGGGCCATTTTGATCGAAGCTGAAATGCAAACTAAGTAATGACCATTATTAGCACGCACGCCTTCGACGTACAAAGCCAGTTTTTTTTTAATGGAATAAGCGTGACAAGCTCGCACACAGCCCACCTGATGGAAAGTGAAAGCTGTGGCCCGTAGCCATCTACATCTACCCTCGAGTATACAGATAGTATATTACAGATGCGTTGGCACCCCTGAGGACTAAGGTAGAATATATCGTATCACGTAAAAAGGGTCGCCGTTTCTACACTTACTATAAGAAACACAGCAATATTAAGCTGCTATTTTACGCTGGTATTCTGTGAGAGCGTGGTCTTACCTCTGTCGGGCAGACTCATTCGTGCTACAATCGTAATATAACTACAACATGGCTCTATTATATTAATTATTCAATTTTTTCTGATACGTTATTATATTTGTACATAGTAGAGCCATGCTATAGTTATATTAGTAGTATAGTTGTAGCACGAATGGGTCGGCTCGACCGGGGAAGCACCACGCTCTCACAGAATACCAGCGTAAAATAGCAGCTTAATGCTACTGTGTTTCGTATGGTGAGTGTAGAGAACCGGAGACCCTTTTTACTGGAAACGAGGCATTCCATCTTAGTCCTCACGGGTGACAACGCATCTGCATTTTGATTTGTAATCGAGGATAGATGTAGATGTCTATGGGCCGCAGCAACCACTTACCATCAGGTGGACTGTGTGCTTGTTTGTCACCCTATCCTATAAAAAAATTATTGTTGTACGTCGATTTATCTGTGCTTGTTTGTTTTCAGGTGCTGATGGGGGCCGCTTCGAAAGGCATCATTCAGCGCGGCTACCAGCACAACGCCACCATGTATAGCGCGCCGTACGCCAGGAACCCCTTCGACCACGTCACCGACCGCGAGATCGACGAGTACAAGCGCACCGTCGAGCGGAAACAGCGCGGGAACGAGTGTGAGTTCCCCTACCCTGATGTTTTATCTCGAAATCATATTTCATAGGCCTCCCTATAGATTGCTTCATATACCCCCCTTAGCCATACCCACTTATTCGTTCAGCCTAACGAAATTCCACTGCTGTATATAGAGTGTTTTTTATATAATAAGTGTAACAAACGAGCACACAGTCCACCTGATGGTAAGTGTTTGCTGCGGCCCATAAACATCTACATCTATCCTCGATTACGAATCAAAATGCAGATGCGTTGTCACCCGTGAGGCCTAAGATGGAATGCCTCGTTTCCACTAAGAAGGGTCTCCGGGTCTCTACACTCACCATACGAAACACAGTAGCATTAAGCTGCTATTTGACGCTGGTATTCTGTGAAAGCGTGGTCCTTCCCCGGTCGAGCCGACCCATTTGTACAAGCATGGTTCTACCGCGTGTAAAACCCATATATTACCTCGTAACTGCCTCGTTGTTCTAGTGGTTGTAGTAGTGCGACTGCTGATCATGAGGTCCTGGGTTCGAATCCCGGGTCCGTCAAAAAAATCAGTTATTGAGTTTTTCCGTTTAGAAATTTTCAGTAGTTGCTCGGAGTCAGGAAGTTGGCGGTGTCTCACCTCCGTGCCTCGGAAAGCAGGTAAAGCCGTTGGTCCTGCGCCTGATCTCTCTCCGGTCGTCGTCGATTACCGTCCCATATCACCTTGGAGGTTAGAGAACAGGAGAACGATCGTCGTAGAAAATAGTGTCCCAGAAAATGGACATTATAAGTGAGGCGCTGCTATCGTTAAGTTCGCTCAATAAACGTAATTTTAAGTTTATTTTTCTGTTCAGATGCTAAACCACTTGCACATCCACGCACAATAAAATATTTCTCCATTTTTTAAGTATCTTTTTGTCAAAAGTTACAAAATTACGGAGCATGAAAATTTTCTCACCAATGCCGCGGAGAAAATTTGTACATTATTCAACTAACTTCACCTTCTTGTACTCATAAACCGCTAACTTCGCAGTCACTACTCGCCGACGTCAGCGCCGCTATACATTCTACAATTTTCAAGGACAGGCGGGCTATGCTTTAGTACGTACCTAGTGATCGTTCTCCTGTTCTTTAACCTCCATGCATAGCACTATGAGAGTGAGGCAATAGAGAGTGCACCTCTGCTTACGCATACACTTGGGCGCTATAACTCTGGCTTGCGCTAACGGCCAACCTCTTTGAGGTTGACTGTTGTGACCAAAATTCAGTCCGGAGGACATTATTATAATAATATTACCTCATATATGGTTATGGCAGTTGTCACACTTGGCAGATCGATTGGCAACCGCAGTTTTTTAGGAAGACTGCTGCTGTCTAATCTCATGGTTTCTCTTTGTCGCTTGTTACGACACCCACGGGATGATATGGGAATATCTATGAGGAGGCCTATTCAGCAGCACATTTTGGTACGCTGTAACGAATGAAAAAAAATTGCACTAGGTACTAGCTATTACGCCGTTTTTAAATGTTTAATTGTATAAAGCATTATATTGTTAATAATTATTAAAAAAAAGTTTCGCTGGGTTTCTTGTTGGTCCTTCCCGAGACAGAATTTTTTTTGGGACAGTGGTAAAGCCAAAATGACTGAGGCCGTGTTAGAAGAGGGTCTGAAACAAGAGTGGCGATGCCGTAGCGAGCTATATAAGAGGTGACACTCGGCCCTTTTTGTCATCGATCATCACGGAGTGCGGAAGCCCTGCTCGAATACCTAGTGTCATTATTTCAAATCTTTAATATTTGTTAATTTGTTTTAAGTTAGTTATTATCTGTTTGGCCGAAGGCCATTAAAATATTTTATATTTTTTTTGTTTCTATTTGTTCTTTGTTTCTATTTGTAAAAGTCAGTAAGAATTACATGTAATCAATATTAAATAAAAATGTTTCTATTCTATTCTTTTACCTATTGTTGCTGCTAAATAGCATTTGTTTTTGCCTATTTGTTTTTGTATTGCTGAGCACTACTGTGTTCTGGTCTTAAAGGTAAAGAGTAAATATGATTACAAGCTTTGAGGCATTTAATCTCAGTTTTCATTATATACAATGCAACTATAGCTAAGTTCATTTTTCACTTCGGTTTTATAAAAAAAAACTTTATATATGTACAGACGACACGGATCTGTCAGAGTCGGAGGCGGTCAGCGGCGCACAAGTGACTTCACCGGCCAGCGCGCCCTCCGAGACCGAAGAGGAGTCACGTGACGGTACGTACCGTACCATAACACACATACACACACAGACAGAGAGAGAGAGAGAGAGAGAGAGAGACAAGCACACACGCGTTAGCGTACGCACACATACGTACGTAAACGCACGCACACATACGTACGCGCACGCGCACATACGTACGTAAACGCACGCACACATACGTACGCGCACGCACACATACGTACGTAAACGCACGCACACATACGTACGCGCACGCACACATACGTACGTAAACGCACGCACACATACGTACGCGTACGCACACATACGTACGCACAGGCACACACTGCCTTAATAATAACCTACAAGGTGTAAGTGTAAACACCGTTGTCACTAAAACCATAGGTAGTTTTAACATAAAAATATTTATCCGAATTTAAAAAGTTTCTGTCGATACCCTATGCGCCCCATCTTAAAATTCTTTTTTTGTTCCTTTTGTCCGTCTTCAAAAAAATTTTGTTTTTTTTTTTTTATTGTCACTTTTTACCACAGAATCACCTTTTTTTCCGTGCGCTTCACATGCTTAACAGATTTCCTGTCCGCGAAACAGATACAATAGTTAAACAATTGAAATGTTCATATTATATGATTCATGGGAAAAGGGTTAATACTGCGCGCACGGAGGAATGTGAAATTTGGCATAGGTAAAGTTTATATAGAGGTGTGCAGAAAATAATAATTCATACATAATATCTCTTACAAACATTTTAAATTAAATTAAAGAAAATATTTTTTTGTTTACGTTCACACTAACAATGTTAAGTATCGCTTTGACATATTATGCTATTTGTTGACGTTCACACCGCCAATATCTATTATTATTTTGCTATTTTGATATTACTACCTTAGGGTTGGAATTATTTCTCCAAATTTACACGGGACCACCCCTGAAGTAAAAAGAAAGGTAATAGTAATAAATAACCTATTTAATTATAAAAATAATTATCGTAATTGGTTTACAATCTGCGAAGATACGGTGTAACACTATACTAATAAAAACATATACTCGAATTGAGTACCTCTTCTTTTTGAAGTCGGTTGAAAATTGAGATATACTAGTAGTATCATAGAATATTAACGAATACGTATTAACATACTTAGATATTGCAATAGATGTTTATCACCTACTACTGAATACTGACTTCCTTAGTGAGTTACAGATATAATAGGTCTTTACCCATGAAATTGCCGTATTTTTTATGAAATAATGTAATTTGTTTTTCTATATTTTTTATTTCTATTAATCAAAGTAGTCAACCATGCAATCGATGCATCTTTGTCGACGCAGTGGCAGTTTATTGATGCTACGATGGTACTCATATAACATAATTAATCGAACGTTTCCATCCATCATGGCGAATAATATTCAAATGCGATGAAAACATAACGCTATGTCATCAATAAACAAATGACTAATTTTTGAAAAAAGAATTTTTGAAAAAAGAAGAAAAAGAACACATGTTTTAAAATTAGAATTCTTAACAAAACAGAAATTATTTCTATTTGAAATGGCCAGTACTGCAGAATAACAATTTCATAGGTAAAGACCCGTTATCCACTCGAATTTAGGGGTCATTTTGGGCAATATGGCGCATCTGTCGAGCACTTTCCGAAGTACTAAGTATATAATAAGTATACTAAGTATACATGTATATACTAAGTAAGTTAATATTAAAATCATATATCAATGGAAACCTTATTAAATAAGCTATCAGATTATACATAACAGATATATGTTATATATATATATATTTATATATATATATATATATATATATATATATATATATATGTGTGTGTGTGTGTGTTGTTACGAATAGTTTGCTATCACTCGACGCCATGTTATGGCGTTTGACAGATGCGCATATTATTTGAGACGCCAGAATATGGCGTTTGGACAGACGAGGGGTTATATAGAAATTGATTATACATATATATTCAATATCAGTTATTTGAATCTTATATAAAGATACGATGTGATTTACAGTATCCTAATGGACATTTATTTGTATTTCTAGAGCACCGAGTGTTGCGGATAGAGACCAAGCAAGTGCCGGTCCGCAGCCAGCCCGAGGTGGTGTTAAGCGATGGTGAGTGCCATTACCATGGTTTGAAACCCCCAATAGTCTTTTATTACCTTCAACCTATTATTATTGCCCATGAATAGCATTTTTATAGTTACGTACGCTAAGTGATTTTTTTTTAATTTCTATTGAGTTGTATTGGTTTTGCTTTGAGCCATTACGACTATAAAACAAATTTTGAATTTATTGTAATCAAATCGTACTTGATACCAAGTAGTACCAATGAAATTGTTAGTCTCAATTTTAATTAATTTATGACATTATCGGTGATGAAGTAATAGCATATGTTTATGATTCTGAGTAGATCGGGCCAAGTCAATAACATGAATAGCAACTTTTAAAATTATTGTCTTTCTGTGCTGACCGCTTGCGAAGAAACTTTACGAACAGACAGAGAGCAATGGCAGTGTAGATCTAGGGCATAGTTTAATAGAAAAACTTGAAGATCTAAAAAAAAAAAACAAATTGAATAAACCAATGTCTGTCTTTGATTATCTGGAATAGATACTGTCCAGGCGACGCCGAAGTGTAGTGTAACGTATTGTTACGAGCTTGAGTTTCGCGACAGTAAAAACTGCCGAGCGAATTACCAAAATTGACACTTTAATAACCGAACACCAATTACAACTTAAAACACAAATGATAAAACACAATTTGCAGTTATATCTCTTCAAAGTATTCGCTTGTATTGCCAATTCAATACTGCCTCGGTCGCGGGTTCTACTGGCTTTATATAGGCCTCTTCTACTGAAACATCTAGAATGTTCGAGTATATACTGGTCCCGACTGACTAGACGGAGAAAGTTCTAATATGGAATTTTCTAGAAAGCTCTCCTAATCTCGATACTAGATGGCGGGAGTTACCACTCGCCACGTACCAGGCGTTAATTATGGCGCCCAAAACACACTCGCTTTCTCCGCCGTGCACGTGGTAAATCGTTTCTTAAAGTTGTAAGTAACAATTTCATTGGTGTCTATTCAAAATCCATAGATTTAGATCCCCGAGCTAACATCACCCTTGTATTGATATAACATGAATACTAGCATGAGTTGTTTTGAAAATATTTGCAAAGATAGTTTTAGATTTTTGAGAAACTGCATAAGTCTGGGCATGTCTTGTTTTATGATGCTCTTTAGAACTTAGTATTGAATCTTTGACGAAAGCGGGGGAAGAAAATAGAAAAATAAAGTCGAGTGACAAACGAGCACACAGTCCACCTGATGGTAAATGAATGCTGTGGCGCATAGATGTCTACAGTAACCCTCAATTAAAAATCAAAATGTAAATGCGTTGTCAACACCTGAGAACTACGATAGAATGCTTCGTTTCTAGTAAGGTCTCCAGTTCTCTACGCTCGCCATAGAAAACACAGCAACATTAAACTGTGTCTCCGTTAATGATGTTGACTCATTTGTGCTACAACCATAATATTACTGCAGCGTGGCTCTTTCACGTAAAAAAATATTGTTGGTAGTCAATTTCCCGTTCCGCTTTCGTCAAAGACGGTTAGCATTATAGCGTGCAGAGTTAGAGGTCGCATGCTAAGTCCCGTTTCCTCTCCGTAGTGGACACGACCGACTTCCTGAAGGCAGAGCGGGAACACGCCGACCTCACCAGAGGTTAGTAGCTGAGTTTGGATATTTTATTTGCACGCAGTTTGCAACTGGATCCTATTTCATACGTTCTGGAATAGTTTATTAGTTTAAAAAGGAAATTATATTTTTAATTAAAATTTGTAAAACTTACTGTGTTTGGTACATAGATGGCGCTTATTTATAATTGTTCAAATAAATATTGATAGCAAGAACTATATGAAATATAGAACAGGAACTATATTTAATAAGTTCTTAACTACGAACCCATCTGATTCTTAACATATCAACAGACCGTGTTGCTATATATAAATTATTTAAAAAAGAAATTAAATATTACCAGATTGTGCTGTAATAGGATCCAATCCATGTTTTTTTTGCACTTCTGTTTTTGCATTTTGTATTAATTCTTGCTTATTGTTGGTTGGTATCCAAAACCCATGATATTAATTTAAAAAAAAAGAAACAAGTGTCGTGGTTAAGGATTTTCTTTAATTTAAAGTAAAACTACGAACATGAAAATTTGCAGCCATTTTTATTTCATTTTATTTGAAAGTGTGTATTTGTTATTCTTATATAAAATAAAAATATTTTTAAAAACTCTTTCTTAAAAACATAACTCTTTACTTAAAGCGACTAATGAATTTTCTACAAGAAGTATTGTACTACGACTTTTACTACAATTATAGCTCTGACGATCGCTGACTTCTTTCATTAATTGAGAAATTGTTATGAATAAAAGTGGCTCACTTTCACTTTCACGGTTTTAGATGTTAAACGATGCTTATATTGTGTTTACTGTACTAATATTTTTTAACAGATTTTGGGTTAATTTTCTTAAAGGCTAGTCTTAACTTATATATACAGTGTTATTTTGCAATAACCGGCCAAATTTGCAAACAAGGTTCAGTATAAGTAATATAAGCAGATGGTAAAGAAAAAATTATTTGAAAAAAATCACAAATATTCTATCCTTTTAGTCTTTTAAATTCAAAATGCGTGGTAATGCATTATTTTAACTGATTTTACTGCGCACTCCCACACTTGTAAGGGTCGATCGGTAGACAAAAACGTTGTTGCCCATAAATCACTTTCAATTTTTGATAATTTCAATCGTATTTACGAAAACTGCAATAAAGGTATATTATCATTATTTATATATTTGAACTTAAGGTAAAAATTTGGCTACTCTTTGAAAAATCAAAACCTGTATAATGAAAACACTCCCTAATTAGTGCACTAACTACTGTGGTTTGTATTTCCGTAATGTAAAACAGTTTTTGGAATCTTCCAGAAATTTCAGGGTAATCCTAAGTTGCCTCTTGATTTCAAAACTATTTCTTTTTTTATGTTTCAATGTAGAGTTACTTGATTACAGGACTCATTGCAGGTGAAGCTATATGTATTCATCGTGTTAAAGATGATATTGTATCGGTTTAACGTTTTCCGTCATGAAATAAGTTTATAAAAAAAATTATATATATAATATATATATATATATGTATATATATATATATATATATATATATATACAGTGTGTAAGTGTAAACACCGTTGTCACTGAAACCATAGGTGGTTGGCTTTAATATAAAAATATTTATCCGATTTTTAAAAAAAAAACGCTATTTTCTTTTATAAAATTAAAAAAGTTTCTGTCCGACACCGTCCGTAAATTCATGGATACCCTATGCGCTCGAGTGACGTAATCACTGTAAAGGTCACCGCCCGTCCTTGCTACCTACACAACATTTCAATATAAACACAATGGTACACGTAACCTATCATGAAACTTTTCCTTCATACTTTCACACTTGCTTAGGACAGATAAAAATTCCTACCCTTTGTGTTGGGTGACGAGTCCAAATTAATGTAAGTTAGATTTAACAACAAACAAAATTAAACATTAATAATACCTAGGTGGATTGAAAAGTACTCGGCCTAACACAGATCCATTCAATTCTAAAAATCAAATCTACCCACATTATTTAGTTTAGTTCAGACTAGTTCATTGTGTGAAGTTCGAAACGTGTGCGATAATTAGTTGTGATTTTAGAAATTTATTAACAAAGTAATCGGACATAATTTCCGCGAATGGAGCAAATCGAGCAGCGTGCCGTCATTAAGTACCTCCATAAGAAGGGGCTATCATCAAAATCCATCCATGATGACATGGTCAGTACATTAGGCAATTGTGCTCTGTCATATTCATCCGTCAAAAAATGGATAGCAGAATTTAAGCGTGGTAGAGAGTGTGAAAGATGAACCCCGCTCTGGAAGGCCTTCGACGTCAACTACTGACGAAAATATTAAAAAAGTACTTGATTTAATAATGGGAGACCGCAGATTAAAAATTAGAAAGATAGCCGAGATTATAGGCATCTCTTATGAACGAACTCAAAACATCATTGTCAACGAGTTGGGTTTCCACAAGGTGTCTGCGAGGTGGGTTCCGCGACTGCTTTCAGTTGAACAAAAAAGGACGCGATTGACTATTTCACGCGCCTGTTTGGAGTTATTTGAAGCCGATGCAGATGATTTTTTTAATCGTTTTGTTACTATGGACGAAACATGGGTTCATTACTGTACACCGGAAACAAAACAACAATCAAAACAGTGAAGAAGACCTGGTTCACCACCCTCTAAAAAGGCTAAGTCGATTTTGTCGGCAAATAAGGTGATGGCTTCAGTATTCTGGGACTCGAAAGGTGTGATTATGATTGATTATCTTGAAAGGGGTCAGACTATAAACTGCACATTACTACGTCGTTTACGAGAGTAAATAAAAGAAAAACGTCGAGGAATGCTCAGAAGAAAAGTCCTGTTTCATCAAGATAACGCCCGTGTTCACACGTCAGTACAGTCAATGGCTGAAATTCACAACTGTGGCTTTGAACTGTTACCGCATCCGCCGTATTCACCTGATCTGGCACCATCAGACTTCTTTCTGTTCCCTAACCTAAAAAAGCACTTGGGAGGTCAAAGATTTTCGACAAACGACGAGGTCAAAGCAGCTGTAGACGCCTATTTTGACTCTAAGGAAGAATCATTTTTTTTCAACGGTCTAAATGCTTGGAAGGGGAGGTGGCAAAAGTGTATTGAACTTGATGGTGATTATGTAGAAAAATAAAAATATAACTGATTTAGTATGTGTTTATTTTCTTGGTTAGGCCGAGTACTTTTCAATCCACCCTCGTAGTAAATAGTAAATCATTAGGTAGGATTTTTGGCGTATTTACCGTATACCGTACCGCGGCCCTGGAACGCAAAGGGCATTTAAAGCATAAGCTGACCGTTCATTGTACGGAAAGATCATACAAAGCGAGGCCAAGACAAAGGATTTGTACAGCTTGATGTGTAGCCTGATTGATTGGTTATTTACACTTACCTATTAAATAAAATCCTCGTAAATGAATTCCATTTTGATCAGCTTTTACATTAATCGTAAAGGCTAGAAGCACAACAGTGTCATTTCTCTAAATACACTAAGAATTCGCCTTTTGAGTTCGGACGTATTACGGAACTTAGTTGCATACACTCGGCGCTTCACTTCTCCCCAAAGATAAAAGTCCAGCGGGGTAAGGTAGGTTCATCGCCCAGGAAACTCCTCAACCAAAACTACAACCTAAAGCGACGTAGAATGTCGGCACTGCGCGCCGCGGTTTTAAGTCAAATTAACACGTACATTCCGCACCGACGCAGCGAAGGTGACTGACACACTGACACAGTGACATTGGCCTTGACCGCGAATCGCTGCCGCTACCTACGATATGTTGAGTTTTTTATTGTGAATTCTGTAGGTTTATCCCTACTTGCCTAGGGTGAAATAATTGTAAGAAAAAATTGAGATTTGACTAAAAAAAATGTTGTTATTTTTCATTGAAATTACTTTCTATAAGTGAAACCAAACCACTAGTTTCAAGGACAACGGTGTTTACACTAACACCCTGTATATATATATATATATATAATTCATAAGTTTTTATTTCGTTCACTTAACATACTATGTTTTCCTCACGGAAAAAAATGATACCCGGTATAAATATTGTTTCTATGGTATACCGTTAATTCCTGAGTATTTTGGATTTAGAGAAGGGTTCAACAAATATAGGTTTATTTGATTCCTTTCTGTGGTTCTCCTTTGTTTTCGATTCTATTTCTCTCATGTATCCTATATAAAGCGGTGGAACGGGATCCGAACCTACTGTCTGATGATGAGGTATTCTTGGATTCGACCGCTTCGACTGGCACTTCGAGTGTGACTGCCGCGGCCCCATCTACCGTCGTAGTGCGACAGTACACGGCCGCCACACCCGTACACGGTACTGTAAGCCGAGGTGAGACTGCAAAGAGTGCGTCGGAGATACCGATGGTGGGAGTAGGGTCAGAAAGTTCATTTTATGTTGTTTGTCTAGTCTTGTGGTGGTCCTCGTTAAATAATGCTTCTGTGACTTTGAGTAGTGAAAGAGATAAGAGAATGACGAGAGATCTATTGAGATAAGTTTGGGCATGGCCGAGGGTAACTTAAAAGAAGACGAAATTTGATTTATTTTAACCATCGGTTAAAGATGGAATTATTTCTAATTTAAAAGAAGTCAAATGCATGGCATTTTGCCTATATTAGGGGTTATGGAAGAATTACATCTCAATTGTGAGATAGAGTATTTAGAAAAAATCTTAACTTCGATTTCATATAGAATCCTTGAAGAGTAAAATGGGTGCATATGGTCAAGGCGTATGCATATTTGTATTTTTGTAATTGTCTTCGAAAACTGTATTCGTGCGGCTTTGCAATTTGGCGTCAAATATTTGTCGTTTTTTTTTTACTGGTATATTATCAAACTTGTGACAGTTCTCATGTAACAATTTTTTCATATTGTGTAATCCATCTCACACTGTGTTTCTTCATTTTGTATCGTTTAGCTTTGAAACTGTGATTGTTTATTCAATTATAGGTTATATGAGAAGATATCTAAAGGATTCATAAAATCTTTACTCTTAATGGTCTCTGATAATGTAATCATTGACAAAGATCATATTAAAGCCAAATAAACAGATACTTGAAATTCTACCGTTTATTTCTCCAACAATTATGACATTTATATATTTATGCTCAATTCATTGTTTTTGTTTTTATATAGCATCACAGCTTGCGCATTTGCACTTAACTAAAGCTTGTTCATTAATACAGGTAAATTAACAGCTGTGGACAAAATCCTTGACGAAGCCTTAACATCAAACACGCGCTCGAGGCATTTCTTTTCACGCAACCCTAATTTTGACAATTATATTCATAAGTTCGAAGCTGTTGATATCAAAAAACACCCGAAATGTAAATTAAATCTTAATTCTAAGATTGCTTCAAGTGATAATAAAGAATTAGTTTTACATAAAGGTGATGATTTAGGCAGTCGTTCTAGTTTGAATTCTATACCGTCATTAGAATGGGATTGTAGACATAGAACGGAATATTTATTTCGAACTCAATCTCTTCCACGACAGAGAGTTAGTTCATGTAACAAAATTTACAGGACGCGTTCGCATAGTGGCTTCATCAATTCATTCATTAAGGATCCGGATCCTATTCACTATCATATTCCCAAATGTCGCTCGTGTGGTGAAATCACCTTATCTTATAGGAAAATAAAGACAGGCTCAAAGAGTACTTTAAGATCTAAATCACATGGTTCGCTTTATTTCTCCTTTGATAATATCAATCAGAAATGCTTAGATGAACTGAAATCAGAACCTAAACCTACTATTGTCAAAGTGAAAGCAAATCTGCTACCAGTTTTTAAAGTGAACACAAACCCCAACACGGAGTTTGTTGAGAGCCAAGAATTTACCGAGGATAATTATTTAGATGATATGAGTAACAGTTTTTCAACAGAAAATCAAACCATTGTTGAAAACAAACAAATAGATACTTTAACTCAGAAAGTCGAAAGTGGAAACCTTGTTGAAAGTGATACTAAAAACGAAACTACACAAAAATACGGCACATTTAGGACAGAAGATGATAAAGATATTCCAGTTAAATCTGACAACTCAATCGATTCGATTGAGGGAGAATACCACAGTTTTCATGACGATATGGATTTCGAGGAAGCGGTTTACGATAGTCCTGTAAAGAAACTAATGCAAAAAGATATAAGAGATTATTCTGTACCGATTGATTTCTTTTGTTCAGATTATGAAAGAAAAGATTCCATTGTACAGATATCACCAAGAAAACGTGACATTCAAAAAATGAATATTCTTGAACCAATTTTGGAAGAGTCTAAAAGTTCCAATAGCGACGAATCAAATAATGTTACTTCTGTGGAAAATATTAAAACTGAAAACATATCATTATCTAATCCATTTTTTCACTCGCAAGAAGAACAATCAAATAATTCAAAAACCTTAGAATCTAATAGAATCAGAGACACGGTAATAGAAAAAAATAATGAAGAAAGCTCGGATATCAGAAAAAACTTAAACCGGAATATTAACGACGAAAATGCAGAAATTGAAACTGTGTATTATGATAATTTAGATCACAGAGACCCGGAAGGTTTTCTAAAAGAAAATCAATTCCAGGCTCTAAAAACAGACATTAATAATTCAAAGCGAGATGACGAAACAGTTTCTGCAACTAGTAAAGTAAGATTAAGCTACAACAGTCTTACTAGTACAGAAACCGGATTTAGTTTTGATTCTTCTGATGAATTTGAGAAACTTGAAGTCGTATCAGAAATTCTTGGCGTTATAGTTAACCGAATTAACTTCGAAACCATAGCATTATTTGACAATAATAGTGATGACATTGTATTGATAGAAGACGAAAATAATCAAGTAGATGAGAATAATGAAATATCGCGTGGTGATCAAAACGAGATAGAAAAAGATACATTGCCAGAACAAGACCTTGAAAGTTTTTCCATAGTACAGATTATAAAAGAAATAGAAGGTAATGAAAGCTTCAATGCCACTGACACCACAGATGCTAGCGATTCGTCGATTATCCAGAAAAATAAAATAGTTGAAGCAATCCTATACTATATTTTCGATACAGTTTTTTACACTGTGACTTGTAAGAACAAACCTAAAACCAAACATTCTAAGCAAGTGGTAACTGTTATTGACAGCGAAGATATTTTATTTACAACTAACCCGCTTCTTTTGAATTTATGTAACAATTCACCTGAAAAGAAAATCTTGATACCTACAGAACCTAATGACGGAAAAAATCAAATTTTAGAGAAACCGTATGATGATCGGAGCGATTGTAATTTAGAAGATGCAAGAGTACCACTTGAACATATTAATATTGTATGTTTAGTAGAACGTGATATAACTAACGCAATAGGGTATAATGAATCCAGTAATGAGTCTATCAAAGATGAATTCGCCGAGGAAAATGGAAATGAAGAAAGATTTGAAGCTTCTGATTTCGAAAATAGCACAATTGTAAGTACATCTGAATATGGTGATCATATTCAGATTTTTGATAGTTCTGAAAAGGATTGGTCTATCAAATGTCGTTGTCGAATGACGTCGAAAAGTGTATTAGAAAATTTAGAAACAAGCTTAGTATGTACATGTCCAGAACCACCTAAGCATGACACAATTCAGACTGATACATCAAACCTAAACGAGACTTTCGTTTTAGGTGCAAATGATAAAGAAAAAATGAACACAGCATTTGTGGAAGATGATTCGATTTTCAGTAGATCTTCCTCGCCTAGAAAATGGAATTCTGCGTTTGAACTGTGCACAGAATCACCTATAAAAAATACAGATGATTCTTTTGTTGGAAATGACCTGAGTGTTCTTTACGAAAAAGATGATACTATATTAGGATCACCTTTTGTGAAAAGATCGTCGGTGATATCCATGTCGCAAACTCAGAACAGAGGTGGCCTGAAGTACTGGGTTTCGTTTGATGATAGTCTTACAGACGCACGGGAGAAACCTTTTTGTGGACGTGTTAGAAGATTTCAAGCGAAGGAAATGCCAAGTTTTATTACCTTTGACTTCGATAAAGATGCAAAGCTATCTCAAGATGTTAAAAAAGGCCCTTTACAAAGATCCAGTGTATTCTTTAATGAAAGTGACTTAAATTCAGCCAGTTTTAACACAGCGTCCGCCTCAAATACAGATTATAACACATGCGATTCCGTTTCAGCCATGACTTGCGAAGCGAACGACACGGAAAAGCTACTGTACGATTCGAGGATGGATTGGAAATCAAGGGGGTGTCGGTTATACTCCAGCTGGCCCCCTTTTGAAGACACCGTATTCTATAGAATAATATCGAAATTTAGAATGTCCGAAAGCTTTGATCCAAGTATGATTAAGTTTGATGGTAATTTTTAGGCTTGTTAAAATTTATTGCAGTATTGGCAAAAAAAAAAATATTCTTCAGGCTACTTTAAAAATACCATTTACAAATGTCGGTGGTGTAATTTATTCAATGTTACTCTTAAATATTAGAGGGGAGAAAGAACATGTGATATTTCCTCGCACTTATATATATTATTAAGCTAAATATAATACCCATGTCAATTGAAATGAAATTTAAACAACGATATTTTTAAGGAAATTGTATAGGAGTGCTTGTAAATGAAGTTATTGTTTCGTGTAGTCAAATAAAAATCTTCTTTGTGTATTTTTAAATACTACAAATATAATTTAACTTAATACTTAGCAAGTTTTAAGACACTACTAAGCCAACCAATTCGTCTATAGGTTATTTCTGAATCTTTTAATAAACAGTTTATAACGCAGAATTCGTTAAATTAGATTTTAATTTAACTTTTTAAGGAAAACTAAATAAGTTTTGTGACACTGAAAAGCATGGTTATCGATTAACAACAAGTTTCAACATGGGGGTTCGTGTGATATGTCGATACGACTACGACGAAGACACAGATAACCTACATTTTACAACTTAAACAAGTTTGTGTCTTACAGGTTACACTTTTAAACTAAAAATTACAAAGTACTAAGTAATACCATAACCACCTGTTAAATTATTACCAAAAATAACAGGTGTTCATTGATTCGTTTGACCAAAGTGACCTTACGCAATTAAGGATTTTATAACTTATACATTTATTTTTCGAATAGTTATATGAATGCACCTATTTTTATGACATATACGTTACATGGGTTAACAAAGTTACGTAAAATGCAGCCTACTGGCAACACTGCTCGATTTGCCTCGTACTCATAACGGACAGGTGGTTTTGCGTTATCTATAGTATATTAACGATGTTGCCATCTACCCAGCTACTTTACCTGTGGTTGTCATTACTTTAAAAAGTATTCAATTATATATTTAATAGTAAGTAATTTATTATTCATTTTCCTTTTTAAATAATTCACATGCTTCGGGTTTTATTTGATATCTGTTTTGTTTGTATGCACGCATGCCTTGTTTTCACAATTTAATTTGTAAGAATTTTTTAATTTGCTATATTTAATCTGTATAATTTATATTGAGCTGTATTTATTTACATGCTATAATGTATTTAAAATATAATGTTATTTTTATTCAACAAATTCTAACTCAAGGTTCACAAAGTCATTTTAACATTTTAAAATTAAATACTGGCGGTCTTACTTCTAATCGTTAATTATGGTTACTTAAATTAAGTACTAATTACCTCTATATTTGTCTCTTTCTATTGTACTTATTTAAGAGAGAGAGAGAGAGAGAGAGAGAGCAATTTTAAGCATTTCGTAAGTAAGGCCGTAAGTGTAAGGAGTGTTGTTTTTGGCAAAATTTGTAAAGGTTCGGTCACATTGTATGCATAAAACAAAGTGACGGAAGTGTCTATTTACTAGTTACTAAAATTTCAGATATTATTTACAAGGCTACCTAGCTCGAGAATGAAAAACTAAAGTGTCTAAAAGACAACAAGTAATGAAAGTATCCGAAAAAGTGACCTATGTCCAAATCAAAATGGCCGCTACTTAACTCGCTGGTGTTAGCGAAATGCAAATATCGTTGTCACGTACAGTCGCTCTTTTTTATTTAAAAAAACCTATGTTTTTTTAATTTCAAATTCTACGAAAACTGAACAGATCGTCATCATTTCATCAGCCCTTTACGAGTCTACTGCTGCAGCCTGGAGTTAGGCAGTTGTGGTGAGGTTTCATTCCCGTGCCTCGGAATGCACGTAAAGCCGTTGGTCCTGCGCCTGATCTCTCTCCGGTCGGGACGGTTTACCGTCCCATTGGAGTATGAGAGTGAGAGAATAAAGAGTACACATGTGCTTGCGAACACTTGGGCACAATAATCTTGTCCTGCACAGTAGGCGCGCGATCCGTTGATCCTGGCCGCAGTGACCGAAATTCGGTCTGGCGGGCGTTATTTTAAAATTTTATGACTTAAGTAGAATGTGGCCGAAACTTTATTTTAAACTAAGATAGATGACGGCTAGATAAAATAATAAATAGATTATAGCGTTAAAGATCTCTTTAACGCTATAAATATATTCGTTTGTCTGTTTTTATGTTTGTCTGTTTGTGCATGTAAATGGTTTTTAATAATAAAAGTATTTTGTGACGTTATTGAAGGTCAATATCGTGTTTTATTGAGGTAAAAGGTAAAGTTGATTTTTATTCGTTATAAGCCTTATGAAGTATCTTCCTCAATGACATGCCTTTCATATTATTGAAAAATATTATTTTGTTATTGTTTCACCCGAACTCGAACATCAAAGTTTCTCTGGCGATTAAATTATATTGTTTTTTATCTTGATTAATATAAAGTATTTTAAAAATCAGTTCTATAAGAATTTAGTTGAGTATTTCATTTATTTATTTATTTATTTCAAGAAGTATCAATTTTTGGGCGCCAAAATCGTGTCTAAAATACGATGTTTGAACAAAAATAGAAATTAAAAAAAAAAACGAAACTAATATTGATCTGTAATGGTTGATCCCGGGCAGTACTAAATAAAGTTTGTTTGATTTTCAATCTCCCGACTTTTCGGCAGAAGTCTAGAACATCGTTTCTCAATATTCCATAGGAAAATAATTTCACATTTAGTACGTATTAAGTTCAGTTAAATATGTATTGTATATTTCAAATATGTACTGACGCACATAGTTTTAGAGCTATTCGCACCTAGTTTAACCAAAATATATGAGCTTAGATGGAAAATTTTAAAAGTGGTAGGTGGGGTTAGGTTAGCCTCGGTAGCGCTGATGTCGAGATATGGAGATCATTCTTGAGAAGCCGGCGCGGATCGCTATTATAAATGTATATAAATATATTTAATATTTTAATTACATGGCCTACATTTTTAAGGAGCATGTATTAATAAAAAATTAAATAACACCACACGCATTTCGCTATCACTGTGTCTACACTCGCACATAAATGCTTTTACTTCAGTCAAGTCCAAGCTTTTACTGTCTCACCCGTGCACGCATGACTAGCTTACACTTGGTTTTGGGAGAGCAGCTTTGGTACACATAATAATAAAGGTGAGTTTTGCATGTATTATTATTTAAAAGATTTGAATGTCGACTGTTTTGGTGTTGTCTGTATTATATTGACTCTACAATCTGTCTGTTTTGTAAGGTTTAAAATTGGCGGGAAATCTTTTAAATGGTCTAACATAGTTATAAAATTTTATGTAATTTGTTTTTATTATTACAGACTGCAAACTGTACTGTGCTGTAATTTTAACCTGTAAACTCTGACAGCTCGCGACAAGTTATACTCCCGTTCGCTCGGGACCTTAATGGCGGGAAAATTTGCAAGTTAGCAAATTTTTTGCTAACTTGCAAATTTTGCTAAATACAATAAGTTGATGATTTTTACTTTAGACTAGTCATAGATGTACGATGACGACGTGAGGGGATGCATTCCCGTTTCGTCTCGTGGGTGTCAATAAAAGCGACTATGAGAAATCTCAGAAAAGCCTTACGGTTTTCGATAGATAGCGCAATAAACTATCTATTTTACGTCAGAAGTAAAATACCCAGACCGTAGACATGTGTCATTCATTCATATCTAGTGATGGTCAGTCAAGTATTGACGCGTCTTCCGAACCGGATCATTATTTCAAATGGATCATTTCGGGTTTCAGTACTGTTTATACTGTTTGGTTCTGGTCGTAGGTCCTGTCCATCGTTTGATCGGTTAAAAAAATGTAATTGCAATCATCAATACTTTAATGCGACCCGGGTCAAATGAACGACACATGTCTACCGGATCGGTGTAATATTGCGATCGTTAACCCGTCAGCCGAGCGTGACGATGAAGCCAAATCCTTCTCACATTGAAAGAGGTTTATGTCCATGTCCAGCAGGATATTTCTACAGGCTAAGAAAGAGAAAGAAGAAGTCAGAACTATCTCATCGACATCAAAAATACAATGGTTTTTTTTATTGCGTGATTCCAAGACAAAGAAGTTGCCTTGATAGATACACAAGTATCTCCCATTCTCATAAACTAGTGTCAATCTTTCCTTATTAACTAAAGCTACAACCCTTACTACTTTTGGTGGGATTTATTTTAATATTATTCAATGACTGCGTATCACTATTTTGTCAGACCTCTATTTTTGATTGAACGTATTTAAATTTTAATTATGATACTGATATAGTAAATTATGATATTTTGAATTATATAACATACATTTAAAAACTTAACATATTAGAATCGACTACCACCTATATTATTTGGTAATTTAAAAAGAAAAAAGTTTGCATGCCGTATCTCATGGCTAAATAGGTCTTTAAGTAACTTATTTTTATTGTAAAAACCTATCACTTATCCTATTTATGGCAATTAAATAAATTTGAATTTGAATGATGAATTCCAGGCGAGCACACGGTGAACGGTGACCACTCGGACGCCCACCAGAGCACCTTCTCCCATAGCAGTAAAGAGGTAAACGATTTTATTTGCTTAGAATACGTTAGGATCAGAGTGGGATTGAGGGGAGCAAGGGTCCGACAAGCTCCCCAATGCGTATTTCGGACTTTACATGCCTTCGAAATATTTTTATTAAAGTGGAAACTTCTTGAAAAAGCGACACTAAATAGAGACAAACATATACTTACATCTATGAGATTAAGCCTGAGAGAGAATGAGATAGAATACAGTATAGTATTTCTTATTATTTTTTATGTATTTTATTTACCAAAAGCCCATCATATCATATGTTTAAATTGAAAACTAACAGTCTGTATAACATGTATATGTAATATATGTAGAATAAAATATAAACTTGGTAGAGCCACGCTGCAGCTATATTGTGGTTGTAACACGAATGGGTCGGCTCAAACGGGGAAAGACCACGCTCTCACAAAATAGCAGCTTAATGCTGCTGTGTATCGTATGGTGAGTGTAGAGAACCGGAGACCCGTTTTTTCATAATTCCATCTTGGTCCTCAGGGGTGACAACGCATCTGCATTTTGATTGTGAATCGAGGTTAAATGTAGATGTCTATAGGCCACTGAATTCACTTACCATAAGGTGGACTGTGTGCTTGTCATCCTTATTCTATAAAAAAAATTGAACTGGTCACAAATTTGTAATAAGTAAACCCAACAATGATCTTACTCCTGATACTCTCCATTCGCATCATTCTTTCCAAGCTTAGTTTTCTGAAGTTTCCACTTCTATGACGTGTGAACTGCACACAAGTTTTTTTTTTTTTGATAAGCAAATGTCCTCACGATGTTTTACTTCACCGCCGAGAACGTGGTAATCAATCCTAGATATGAGAGGAGACTTGTGCCCGGCAGTAGGACATAAAGAGGCTGTGACTTTACTTTAGGATTAGTGGAGTTAGTCAAATTGACTTGCTACAATCTTTAACGCGAATAGAAAAGGATAAAAGTAAATGGGAATGACATATAAACCTTACCTTACCTTACCTTAGACGTTGTCTACGACGGTTTTACGTAGTAGAGCCATGTTGCAGTTATATTACGGTTGTAGCACGAATGAGTCGGCTCGACCAGATCACGCTCTCACAGAATACCAGCGTGAAATAGCAGTTTAGTGCTGCTGTTTGTATAATGAGTGAAGAGGACTGTAGATCTCTTTTACTAGAAACGAGGCATTCCATTTTAGTCGTCAGGGGTGACAAAGCATTTGCATTTTGATTCTTAATCGTTTCATGATGTAGATGTCTTTGGGTCACAGCAGCCACTAACCATCAGGTGAACTGTGTGCTCGCTTGTCACCCTTGTTCTATAAAAATAGAGTAAGCTGAAGTGGCAATGGGCCAGCTGTATGACTCCATAATCGACAACCGACAGAATAACCTACCTATAGTGTCTGCATCGTACCAGTAAGAATAGTAAGGTGTCTCACTCAGACAATCATCCAGATCGAATTTAGGTCATGGCGGCCAGTCACAGGACAAGATCATAGTGCACGAGTGTATGCACTAGCACAGGTGCACTCTCTGTTCCCTCACTCTCATATTCCGAAGAGATGGCAATCCGACACGACCGGAGAGAGATCAGACCACAGGACCAAAGGCTTTACGTCTTTCCGAGGCACCGTTGTGAAACACTACCAACTTTCTGGTTACAGGCTGCTCCTGCGAATTTCCGCTAACTATGGTCTGTGTTCCGAAATAGAACTCAGTATACTGGCGAATGCAAATGACGTCATTAATCGACGCCATATTTACTGGCGTGCCGCCGCCATATTGTGTCGGATATCCCGGTGTATTAAAACAATTTTTAAACAGCCAAGCACTAAATCATTATCATCAGTATCAGAATGAATCAGAATAAATTTCAATAGCAACACGGCTCAATAACATAATTGCTGGTATCTCCATTTTTCACAAATTGAAACAGGATATAATAACTTTTGGAGCACAAATAGACATAAAATAATCGCCAACACTTTTCCAATATGGTGGTTACAATGGCGCAAATGTATGATGTTATATACTGGCCAATGTTTTGAAACGAATCACCAGTATGATGTTGATTTATGACGTCATTTGCATTGGTTAGTATACTAGGTTAATGGTAACGGTAAACGTAGTGATTTATATGCTCTGGAATTCTACGCGGGTAAAGTTTAGTATTGAATAAATATATCTACTCTACATATTTAAAATATTTTGCAGGGTTCCCCGTCTAAGGAGGTCTCCACCGAAGACTCGCCCAAGAAGGACAAAAAGAAGAAGAAGGGTCTCCGGACGCCGTCCTTCCTCAAGAAGAAGAAAGAGAAGAAGAAGGAGAAGTCCAGCACGCCGCAGCCCGCCTAGAGGTAAATGACTGACGCCTAATTTAGCCTCACTAGACGATGAGAAACTTGGTAGCTTATTTTAATAATTAGTCACGCTTCTTAGCAATAAGTTGTGGTGCTAAAGGCCGTGGGTTCGAATCCCGCACGGATCAAGTATCTGTATGGCCTGCAAATAATTATTCCGGGATGATCGTTCCTTGTGACTTATTTATGTTAATTGCTTCCGCGATACAGGAGAAAATCCCAGTGAAAAACAAACAAAATATATTTGAAGATAGTGAAACAGTAGTCGAATGGCAGATTCGAATCTCGAACGTCAATTATAGCTTACCTTACCCCATGGAGGTTAGAGAGAAGAAGAACGATCGCTACGTGCTAAAGCACATATCTGCGAAGTTAGCTGTTTATCAATACAAATATATGAAGTTAGTTGAATAATGTACAAATTTTCTTCGCAACATTGGCGAGAAAATAATCGTGCTCCGTAATTTAAAAAAAATTAGTAATTAAAAAAAATGGTGAAATATTATTGTATTGTGCGTGGATGTGCACTTGCACAATACAATAGTAGTGGGTTTAGCATCTGATCGGAAAAATAGACTAAAAATGACCTTTATTAAGACAACTTAGCAATCGCAGCGCCTCACTTAATTTGTCCATATTTCTGGGATACTATTTTCTACAGCGATCGTTCTCCTTCTTTCTAACCTCCATGGCCTACCCGTTAGAGCATGGAGCGGTGCGTAGCTCATAGCCTAAGCGCTCTATGTAAATTTCACAGTACGTGAGCAACCCGAGTTCAATCCCCGCCGACACCAATGAAATTGTTAATTGCAATTAATTATTGTTATTGCACGTGGTAAATACTGATTTACCACGTGCTCGATGGAGATGAAAAACATAGTGAGGAAACCTGCATGTCTGAGAAATAAGAAAAATATTCGAAGATATGTGAAATTCACCAACACGCATTGGGGCAGCGCGGCGGACTCTTCCTTGCCCTAAGACCTTCTTAGTAATGAGAATAGGCCTCTGCCCAGCAGTGGGACGTATTTATGCTATAACTATATAATAAACGATTTTCTTATTTTCAGATAAAACCCAAAAAAAAACACTGCCATGTCGCTTTCAAAATACTTCGTAAGTTTTAAGAGCAAACTCAAGAATTACCATTGTAATTTTCGTTATTCACCGCTTATACAGTTCATTAAGATGGTGGGATTTGAAGGGATCCCTGAGATTTTAAGTGCGTATGATTTGACCCACCTATGTATTAGCAACCGCGAATTAAAACCGTCCATCGGTTCTGAGTATGTTGTTTGAGACCTGAGCAACGATCGAAATGAGCCGCTACGATTTTAACAAAACACTCAGGCCTGAGTGACTAACGGCTTTAAATCTAAGGGCTAATGTAGACGGGATTTTATTTATTTGACAAATGTTTTTATCAATAATTTTTTTTAGATTTTCAAAATGAAATTGATTTCTTATGACTTGCCAACAAATTCTTATGAAGTTTCTTATTTTATATTGTCTAATTTGTCCGAGTCGACAGTTTTCATCGAAACATATTTTTTTCAAATTATTGTAATTTTTATTTCTTTTTAAAAGCTGATTCCATTTTGGTCTAAAAATGGAACTACGCGAGTTTTATTTGCGTCTACTTATCTAATAGAGGAAACTATTAGATTAAGGTGTTTATAATATGTTTATTTTAAATTTTAATCTAATTTAAATAATTTTACTATTTTAATTTTTTTATTATGACTTAAAATATTTTACGATTAAAACTGTTACTTGGGATATATGGTGCATTCTTACAAGTAATTCTTCACTAGCATCTAATGCTTTTCGTGTTAGGGGGCTCGACCATTTTGATTAAAGTCCCACGCCATTTTGTGCTTTTTAAAATTTAATTATAATATAGGTATATCCACACTTAAGTCAACTCGATACGCATGCTTTAAATTAAAAAAAAAAATAACTCATCAATTACAAGAAAACCATTTTCATTTGAAAATAAGGTACAAATATCTTTTAAAATGAGCTAAAAAAGCATGCAATTCGAGTTGTAATTTGTACAATGTGGACATAGCTTACGGCATAGACTATGCAAGCGTATATCTGTCAAAATTCCCGCCTAGCATCTGTCAAATTATTATATTGGTAGGTTTATATGCAAATTGGTCGAAATTTTGACAGGTGTATAATCTGTGACATCTGTCGATACATATATGGAGTAATTAAAGATATATAATATATATAAGCACTATCGATTTAACTTTAAGAAGTTATCGGCTAGCTAACTTGTAGTTTTTTCTATTTATTTTGTTTCAAATTGGGACGTAAGAGAGATACGTATGTGTTAATTTCGACATGGCGGTGATTCGGACTCAAAAACTTCTAATGAATGTACTTCCCAAGTGTAATTTAAAGATTCAGTATATGTTTAAGTACCCAATAAACGTAGAAATGCATTTAAAAACGTAAAAAAAAAATAGATCCGCCTGTTCATCGCCGCCATTTTGAAAACAATGCGTCTATAGTACATTAAACAGAATGTTGTTAAGCTTGGGCCCAGATTTTAATTTCAAATATAAATTTTATATTTTTTATTATTTTATTTCATGTGAACGCGGGCCCGGCATCAATTTGACATTACCTAGAATTAGTCTAGAGTTGTTAAAATGACAAGTTGATTTTTTTTTATTAATACGTTATATGGGACATCGCGTTACGCCCCGTATTTATAAATATTAAGTACTTGTAATATTTGAGAATTGTGGACACTGGCATTCTATGCGACTTTGTGTAATTTGTATTTGGAATAAATTATTAGTTTTAAAGCAACTTTTTATTTTTTTAAATCCTCTATTTTAATCTCGTCCCGACCGTCACAAATGTTGCCAGGCGATCGATGCTGGATTTTTAGTAGTCGATAAGTTTTTAGCTTAAAAGAGTTTATTTGTATCATGTATTTTTTTATTTCTAAAATATATGCTGTTTGGAAGATTTATTATGGAGCATGTTGTTTCATTTTTTTATTTCTTATCTCATTTACAAAACCAAAGTAGAACCAATATATTAGGCTACTCGTGCAATTTTATCCACATAATCTCGATGGTTGGCGGTCCACCACCGTGCGTTTTATACAGAATTTTCTGTAACTCACGAACGTATCATGGAATATACAGTTGTCAGCGGTTCTTTTGGAGCGATAAGACTCACGGACTTTCAAGAAAAGCGCCTAATTCCTTGTCTTTCTAAACAACCGGCAAGATTACAACTGCAGTTACCCTGGTGTTGCAGATATTCAGTAAATGGTTTGTGGGTGACTGTAATTACTTACCGTGGGAGCTGCATGCTCGTTTGTTTCCTCTACCATAAAAAAATGCAATTTGCTAATTTATCGCTTGTCACTTTTCCACGCTGCAGCTATATTATAGTTGTAGCATGAATGGGTCGACTCGACTGGGGAAGGACCACAGTGTTCTGTGAGAATACCAGCGTAAGATAGTAGCTTAATGCTGCTGTGTTTCGTATGGTGAGTGTAGAGAATCGGAGAACCTTATTACTGGAAACGAGGCATCCCATCTTAGCCCTCAGGGGTGACAACGTATCTGCGTTTTAATTCTTAATTAAGTCTAAATGTAGATATCTATGGGCCACAATAAACACTTACCATCAAGTGAACTGTGTGCTCGTTTGTCACCGTTATTCTATAAAAAAGAAATGTCAGCCATATAATTAGGGCTGTGAGTGTACTACGGTTCAACCGTATATTTCTGCTGATGTTAACATTTTACAAAAAGCAATCTCTACAGTTTGACAATCATAATAACTGTGTTAGTTTACGTATTCACCTATACCGCGACACACGCGAACTCTTTAACATAACATATTATGATATAAAACATTAACATTTAATATATTTGAATCTTATATCTTACACCTGTGTATTAAAATAAACTTTAATTTATTATTGAACATTCGTCCAATATCCGAACATAGATATTCCATCATAGTCCTCAGAGGTGACAACGCCTTTTTTGTTTCAAGAAGGCTGTCTGACATGCGGGCGAACGTGTGCACGTGCGTGCGTGCGGTTGTGCGTGTGTGTACGAGCAAAATCGCTTTTTATTGGCTTAAAATCTACTTCATTCTATGGGTAAAGTCATAAAATTGGTTTATTATCAAGGTGAAACGTAAAATAGACACTTGGGATAGACGGATGACTGATGATGATGATGGATGGGGACGTCTAGGATATGATCACAACCGGGACCGGGAAGTCTGTAGTTTGTGATCATATCCTAGACGGCCCCCAACCGTTACATCAGATTTGATAGACCACAAATCCGAACACCGATTCCTACCAAGGATCATCCTTGGTAGGAATCTGTGTTCTTTCGCGAGGAGTTATTATTTTACTTTACCATTGGTTCGAAAAAAAACCCTCTGTCCTGGGAAGAACCAGCAAGAACTCGGAAACTCAAGACAAGTCTTAATCGTTCCTTTATTGTTAAATCAGTGTTTTGGTCCATAAATGGAATGAAAAAAAAAACTGGAGAGAGATCAAATGCAAGTCTAACGGTTTTACATGCTTTCCGAGGCACGAGGTTGAGACACCTTCAACTTCGGGCGGCTACTGATGGTTTCTTGTCAGAAAAACAACACATGACTAACAGTTGCGATTACAACCAATATAACACAAAGCTGCCAACTAGATTCAATACTACTTTATGACGGCTGTACACTCTCGATGAGGCAAGGCGAGGACGAGAGTGTACAGGATACTTTTTTTTTATAGGATAGGGTGACAAACGAGCACACAGTCCATCTGATGGTAAGTGGTTGCTGTGGCCCATAGACATCTACATTCATCTTCGATTACGAATCAGAATGCAGATGCGTTGTCACCCGTGAGGACTAAGATGGAATGCCTCATTTCCAGTAAAAAGGGTCTCCGGTTCTCTACACTCACCATACGAAACACAGCAGCATCAAGCTACCATTTCA